AGAATCAACAGAAGAAAAATGATCTTCATAGAATATAACATGTCGAGAAATAGTTAGATGGTGAGAATGTAGGTTATAAAGTAAATAACCTTTGGTGTGAGATTTAAAGTCGAGAAATATGGATGGATGAGCTCGGGATCTAATTTCTTATGTTGAGCGGTGAGTGTACTCGCATAACATAAACATCTGAAAATGCGTAAAATAGCAATATCACAAGCATGTTTATAAAGTTTTTCAAAAGGTGAGACATTTTGTAAAAAAGGAGTACGAATGCAGCTTATAAGATATGTAGCATGTGAAAGAGTAAAACACTAGACACTTAAAGGAAGATTGAATTGAAAAAGTAATGCGTTAAATTGAAAAAGTAATGCTCTTCAAACGTGTAAAAGATGTTGATGCTTCTATTCAACAATTCCATGTAATCTGGTGTATAATTTCTTTTTGAAGAAAAATAATCATTCATGAGAAATTCAACTCCATTATTTATTCGCATCATTTTCACAACTATATTGAACTGTTTTTCCCTTTGAGTGATGAAATGAACAATATGGGAATGTGTTTCATATTTAGATTGCATGAGAAAAATCCAAGGGTAACGTGTATAATCATCGACAATTGTCAGGAAATATTTGTGACCAAACATGGATGTAGTAAAACACGGACCCCAAATATCCATATGTAAAAGTTCAAAAGGTGTATTAGCATGTGAATGACTTGAAGAAAAATATAATTTTCGTTGTTTAGTATGATGACATGTATTGCAAGTGAAAGTTTGATTACTCGTCAATCAAGAATATGTGTGTTTCATGTTTTGTATGTATATGGGAAGGGTGACCAAAACAAAAATGTCACACGTCAATAGGAATTTTAGTACATTGGGATTGAACAATGGTAATGTGAATATAACTCTCAACCTTAAAGTAATAATGTATAATCTAATATTTACATCAATCTTTTGTTTATTGTTCGTCTCTTGTATAATGCAAGAATTATGTGAGAAGATCAAATCATAGTGAAGGTAAGATACGAGTTTGGATACTGAAATTAGATTGAACATGAAAGTGGGGATATGCAAAACATCTGTGAGGTATAAAGAATTACTAAAATAAATGTTTCCTGAGTGTGTAGCAATGACTTATTACCCCATGAGAAATTTAACAATGATAGGTTTAATAGCTTAAAAGGAAGAACAAATTGTTAATGAAGATGAAACATGATCAGTTGCTCCCGAATTTAAGATCCAGGGAGCTTTGGAATGAAATCGAACTTTACCTGAAGAGAAAGAAATAGATCCAATTTGATTGACATGAGATAAAGACATAGATGATGTATCATTGTTTGCTTGCTGCATTAAATCCAACAATGCATGAAACTACTATGGAGCACATTAACCATTTCTCGTGACTTTGTCAACTTCAATCACAACATTATTGATGGTATGTTTGGAATTAGAAATTTTGTATCCAAGAGGGAACCCATGTTTATGATAGCAAACGTCAATTGTGTGTCCCTAACGTCTGCAATGAGTGCACGCCTTCCACTTCAAAAAGGATTTGGTTTGTTCTTGTTGTTAGGGAAACCATGTTTGTCATAATGGATGCAAGAGGCAGCAATAGTGGCATTAATCAATGATTCCAATTGAGAGCATACAACAGGTGTACCTAATTGTCGTTCTTGTTGAGCGACATAGGAGAATATTTTAGAAATTGAAGGCAATGAGTCCATAAGCAATATATGAGAGTGAACATTGCTCGTTTAATCCTCGCAAGAATTGCATAACTTTATCTTCAAGTTTTCTTTGAGTGAGGAGAGACAAAACATTCCAAGAGCATTTAGGCGCACAAGTACATATTGAATATGGTATGAAATTCTTCATTTTGTCCCATACAATTCTAAGTTTAGTGAAAAATTCGGTGACAGAAAGGTCGGCTTGTTTTATAGAAAATGCCTCGTATTGCAATTCCAATACTCGTAATAGATCTCTTTGTGCATAACGTGATTTGAGGTTTATCCATATATCTTTCGTATTGTTCATTTAAAGGATGTTATGATAAATCAGAACGAAAACATAATGATTAATCTACGAAACTACCATTTTATTGCATCTTCTCCGAACATGATATAAAGGATTTAAAGTTGGTGGTTATGACACTTTTTCATCGACAAACTCAACTTTATTCTTTGTGCTAAGAGCTGTCAACATAGATTGACTCCATGAATGATAATTAGTAAAATAAAGAAGATGAGATACCAATTTTGTTATTGGATTTTCAATTTTATATATATAGTTGTGCATACTAAGTGTTTGATTATCACTTATAATTCCAATTGAAAAAGAAAAGAGATTGAGTACAATAAAGTCTTTCAAGAGAATGACTTTAATACCATAATAGAGATATAATTGAAGAGAAACGATGAAAATAGACAACATAAATTATGTGTATTATTATAATATGATGGAATATATTTATACAAGGTAAAGTTAAAATAATAGAAAAGAAAGAAAAAGCTCTAAAAAAAATAGGCTAATAAATTAAGCCATAAAAATTTCTAATAGAAAAAAAAATTTAATCAGAACAATAATTAAGAATTTTAAACATACTTCAAAGATATTTATCATAAAAAATAAAACTATTTACAAAACTGTTAGTCGACATTTTGAAAATCAATTTTACGATAGTAAATAATCAGTGCATATCTTAAAAATTGAAAATAATCTCTTAATTTTTACTCTTTTCTCCTCATTCAACACCCCCTGCTCCCTCGCCGTCCTCTTCAATGGCCTTTCGGCAGCGGTGGTTCTGTTCTCCAACTCCAACCAACATTTTCACCATTTATTGTGTACTCTCCATATCCCGAACAATAACAACCACCAAAAACACCGTTTCTAAATGTCAGATAGAATTTTCCGAATCGAATATCTTAATTCTCAATGTTCATTTTATCTAATATCAATATTAAGATTTATTTTTCTTTTTTTTAATATTATTTTACAGATTATATATTACTTTATTAAGAATATTATAATTATAAAATATTTTAATTTTTTTAATCTAGATACATGTATTTACATAATTTTATATCTTATATATATATATATATTTTATTTGATATCAGGAAATAATTATATTTTTATGATTTATTTGATAATTATCTTAATAGTACGATTGAAATAGATGACAGATTTTAAATTATGATTTTTGTGTCAAAATTCTTGAGTTTCGATAGCTGAGTCTCATTTTTATTAAATTCAAAAACAGTAAAAATAAGATAATTATTGAATATTTATGGTTAAAAAATATTTTTTTAAAGAAAAATATGTACAGAAAGAAATCACACAGAGGAAAAAATAATTATAAAATCATAAGTTTTAAAATTCTAAATTGAATAAAAAATAAAATAAAATAAAATATAATTAAAAATGAATATTAACTCCTTAAAAAATATTTAATATTCTATTAATTTTAAATTAAAATTTAAGATGATATCTAGACATTACAAGGAATGCCAGAGAGATTTTCTAAAATCAACGTTTAACTGAAGAGGTCGCGTGTTTTGTTAAATTTTAAATATTTACCATTCTCATGAAATAACAAAAAATTTATAATGTTATATTTTTATATCAATAGATGAAAAATTGATGATATTTATGGATAAATATTATATTACAGTTCTTAATGCAGCTACTATCGCTGATATAGACTTTGAAAACGACAAGAATGATTTTTAAAGTTAGGTAACATGGTCGTGCAAAAATAAACTTGCCTGAGGTAGTGTTCACGAAGAGACCTAAAACAAAAAGTAGGTGCACGTCACAATGAAGATGTCTTACGGTTGTGAACATTATTATTAACTTGTTGCTGATGTGATACTTCACTCATATTTATCCTGTTCTACTAGTAACTCACCATGTAGCATACTCTATTTGTATAATCGTAATTTCTTTTTATTTCAATTTTAACTATTTATATTTTTAATCATTTAAATTATAATTTCTTTTAGTGAGTTATTCTTTCTTTTTTTAACATGATTTTGAGTTTGAGTTTTTAATATGTATTTACATTAAATATCTAAGAAAACTATTTACCCTAGTAATTCTAATTTAAATTAATGATATAAGATAATAGTTACAACAATAATATTTTTATAATCCAATAATAACAAAGACAAGTGTAATGATAATGATAATATTAAAAAAATGATTGTGATTATGAATGATAACATTTAATTAGTAGTGACCCTAATAATTATAATTATAAGGTAATAGTTACATATCACTTCAAGAAATTAAATGAAACATTATTATAGATACTTGTGAAATGCGATAAAAGAAAGAGATAGGAAAAAAAAAAGTTAACACAATAAGTAACTTGTTTACTTTAATAAAATTAAAAGTTTTCATGCATTACAACATAAGAATAATATCAAAAGTAGTTATAAATTTATTTCAAAGTTGCTTTTCCTAAGTATCTTGTCGTCCACACATTTTATTATTGGCAAGGTCATAAGGTATAGTAAGTGATATACTTCTTTTGTTATTACATTTATAAAATTATTTTAAACTAATTTACAAACTTAAAAAAAATAAAAAAGCTGTCGATGATAATAAAATTTGTGGGTAATTTATATTGTTGTTTTAAAATTATCTTTTATTATTTTTAAAATTATCTTTCTTTTCAAAGTTAATTATTCTTCTCTCCGTATTTAAAGCCAAAAGTAGATTATTTTCACATTTTTTTATAGAATTATATTTACATAGAGAAACTTTATAATTAATCTTTAGTATTTATTAAATTTTTATGCAAAAATATGTAATTTAATTAAGAATGTTTTAGAAAAAAAATTATATATCATACAATTACAAAAATATCTTATGAAAAAACAAATAAATTTCTGAAAATATGATTGCCTCCAAGAGTATAAGACTATATCACTCTTCAAATCTTGTCTAAACATTAGAGTGCCAGCAACTGCAAAGTTTTCCCTTCCTGTGTTACACAATGAATCCCAACTACAGCAAAATGAGAACCATTTCTTTTGTGCAGAAAAAAGTAAAACTGGCAAATAATGAAACACTGGTTTTTGATTTTGAGGGTACTCTGTTACGATCAGTTTCATTGTTCCCTTACTTCATGCTGGTTGCTTTTGAAGCTGGTGGGATACTAAGATCTCTGATCTTGTTTCTTTCATACCCCTTAGTGTGGCTGGTGGGTGAAGACCAACTTGGCTTGAACATCATGGTTTTCTTGTGCTTTTTTGGCATCAGAAAGGACACATTCAGAACAGGATCAGCAGTTCTGCCGAAGTTCTTCTTAGAAGATATTGGATGGGAAGGGTTTGAAGCTGTAATGTGTTGTGAGAGAAAAGTGGCAATTAGTAAGTTGCCTAGGATCATGGTTGAAAATTTTCTGAAGGACTATTTAGGGGTTGAGGCCGTCATGGCAAGAGAGTTAAAGTCCTTCAGTGGTTTCTTTTTAGGAGTGTTTGAGAAGAAAAATCCAAATAAAATCCCTTCATATAAAGTTAATGGAGGTACTAAAGAGACCAATAGAACTGGCATTGTAGATAACAACCTTATTGAGTATGTTGACCAGGGGGAGCTTTACCAACAATTCAAGGTTTGGTAATTTTTGAAATATATAAAACAATCAAATCATTCATACCTATCATCATGTCTTTTTATGTTAAATAAAACTGTTTCAGGTAAACAATGACGTGCACATTCCAGCGTCTTGTTTAATCTAATTAACTGTTTGTTAACTACGTTTTTTTTTTGTGCAGGAGGTTTGCATAGGTGATGAGAAGAGAAATTGGCATGTTCTTCCGAGAGAGAGGTATCCGAAGCCATTGATCTTCCATGATGGAAGATTGGCTTTCAGGCCAACTCTTGCATCTTCTCTGATCTTGTTCATTTGGTTACCCTTTGGAATATTTCTTTGCCTACTTAGATTTACTATAGGCATAGCATTGCCCCTCAATGTGTCAGCTCCAATATTGGCCCTCTCAGGAACAAGAACCACTCTTTCGAAACCCCAGAGCACTATGTCTTTGGTCCACAGTGAAGAAAATGAGAAGGGTATGCTCTATGTGTGCAATCACAGAACCTTGCTTGACCCACTTTATGTTTCAATTGTTTTACGCAAACCACTTTCTACAGTCACATACAGCCTCAGCAGATTAAGTGAAACAGTATCCCCTATGAAAACTATAAGGCTCACAAGGGACAGAGAGAAAGACAGAGAAAAAATGAACAAATTGTTGAGCCTAGGGAACCTGGTGGTGTGTCCTGAGGGAACAACTTGCAGGGAACCTTATCTGTTAAGGTTTAGTCCTTTATTTGCTGAGCTTACAGGTAACATTGTTCCTGTGGCTATTGATTTGAATGTTAGCATGTTTTATGGAACAACAGCAAGCGGGAATAAATGTTTAGACACCTTTTTCCATTTCATGAATCCAAGTCCTTCGTATTCCATAAAATTTCTGGAGATGTTACCACAATCCCAAACATGTCAAGCTGGTGGAAAATCGAAAATTGAAGTCGCAAATTTTGTGCAAAAGGAGATATGCAAGGCTTTGGGGTTTGCATGCACCAACGTGACCAGGAAAGAAAAGTATTTGGTCTTGGCAGGTAATGAGGGTGTGAGCCCACGCAATAATTGCCACCAGTAGCTACAAGTTTATCTGTGTCACACTCTGAACGACCCTCGAGAATGAAGATTCCTCTTGGGGAAGTGGCTTGGTGATGAGTTTTACATGTTATATTGTTATGTCTTTTAGTGCCACATTTGTAACATTACGCTATGCAACTTTCATTGGTCCAATATACGAGGGAAAGAAAATGTGTGTACATTGCTTGTTTCTGAATTTTTAACTGTCATTTTATTAAGTAGGAAAATAAGAAAACAAAACAGCCCTACTTCTAGTACTTATCTGGAGAAGATAAAATAAAAATAAATGCAAAAATATTTTTTATTCATTGCTTTCATCTCTCAAAAGAGAACACATCTATTTAGGTCAAATACTCACATTTGGCACATAGCATTTTGTTAGGCTTCATAGACAAACATGTTCAATCTTATCTTATTTTGTTTGTAAAATCTATAGATTGGATTTTTTTTTCTTTCCACCTTAAATAAGTCTTTAAATAAATTCAAAAGTGAAGTTAGACTATAGAATTCGCCTAAGCAGGGTAAATAATTAGATTTTAAAAACTTTACTTGCTTTCATATATTTTAAAGGGTTTTATCATTTTTTATTTTAAAAAAATAGTTTATAAAAATAAATAAATAAATGATAATAGTTTTGTAAAAATAATTCTCGAAATTATCTTGTTTATAATTCTATTAATTTATTCGAACTCAACTCAATTCAAACTTTAAAACAGTTTGGTTTAATATGTTATAACTCAATTTATTTTATAATCATAGGATTTTACATATTTTTATCTGTTATTCTTTTCATATTGAGATCAAAATAATATATAAATATTTTTTTCATATCTATAACGAAATTGCTGAATCAATTAAGTTAAATTGTATACAATTAAAATTCAATTTATTTAGATTACAAATCTAATTCATTAATCAATTATCAAATTGAAATTTAAACAATATTTATATTGGTTTGGTTTATTAAAAAATCACTAAGATTTGTTTTGGCACCAAACAGTCTAAGGAGCAGTAAGTAGATTTGTGTCGTTGTCCTATAAGAACAAGTTTACCCAAAATTTAAGTATCTTTTTTTTGTAGAGTACCTGTGTGTAACAGTAACATCGTATACAAGCGTGACCCGCATTCAAGTAACAATATTGGTTATTAAGGTTTTTAATTCGTACACAATTATATTTTTTTATTTATGTAATAAAAAAATTATTTATTCTAAAAATAAAAGACAATATTTCAATTTTTATCATTGAAAGAAATAAATTTATATATATATATATATATATATATATATATATATATATATATATATATAAGATGAGATATATATTTTAAATTTTTTAATAATTAATATGAATTATTATTTTAGATTATTAAATTAAAAAAATTAATGATGAATAAATTTTTAATTTTTATTATTAAAATAGGTGAATCCTTATTATTTGTATTAGTGAAAATACATACGTTTAAAATGTCTCTGGTATTTTTTTATTTATTAAGTTAGTTTTAAAATATATTTTACTATTATTTTTTAATCTAATTATTTAAATATTTTTAATCTAATTATTTAAATATTTTTATATATTTTCACTTACTATATTATATTATAATTTTTTCTTATAAATAATAATAATAACTATTTTTTAATCTTATCTCTCCTTTTAAAAATCATAATACATTACGTATATAATACTTAAATTTTTCTTTTGAATGATACTAAAAGTGATTATAAAAAAATAATTTTTTATATAATAAGATATAGACAGAGAGGCTTTGGGAGGAATTTATTGATTTAATTAATTATAAAAAAAATCTGGTACGAGTAAGTGTTTTTTTTTTCCTAAATGATTAGTTAGTAGGTTATATAATTTGTTAATTGGATTTTAGTTTTAACTTGTTAATATTTAATTTTTCTTTTATATCTACGAGTGAAAGATCTATACACTTGTGAAGAAGTGAGTTTGTATTTTTAGAAGAGATTTTTCAATTTATTATTGCAAATAAGACTTTTGACAATTATTAAAAAGCACCACATTTTAGTTCTATATAATATTATTGAAAAGAAATTATAATATTTTCATATATAATAATTGTTTATTTTTGTTATGTATGGCAAATTATAGAAATCATTTTCAAAATAACTATCATTATATTTATTATAATAGATTATTCTTAAAATTTAAGTGCATGATAAATATTATAAAAATAATCGTTAAAAGCATGGGTTTATATATGATGGCTCGGGTGGTTTGGCGGATTTTAGTTAAACACATCATCAAATTCATAAAAAAAAAATTAAGTGGAGTTGGGTCGTTTTTTTTTTTTTTTTTTTCACTCAATCCAAATCAATTCACCTTTAATATTGAGCTGGGTTAAAAAATAATTTGTTTATTAAAAAATTTATTTTTAAAATATATTTTTTGAGATTTTTAGAATATATATATTTTAAATAGACTAAATTATTTATTATTGAAATAATTAAATAAACTAATATTTTAAAAAATATATTTATTTAATATAATAATTAAATAAATTAAATAATCAATATATTATTATTAATATTAAAACTATTTTATAATTTTGATCTAATAAGTTGGAGGGTCTCAAATAAAATGATTGGATGATCCAATCCAACTAATAACATAAATAAACATCATGTATATATTTTGTTAATATAATTTCAGTTTTATTACTCAAAATGTAAATTTAGGAATATTTTACGTACCAATCTCACCAACAAAATTAATTTAGGTTTATAGAATTTTTCATGACATCACATCCCCAGATGAAAAAATTGTTTCAACACCAATTTAAGTTAACAATAATTTATTTAAAACATAATTAAAGTTATTTTTAAACTTGAAAATGTCTACTATTAATAAAAATATAAAAAAAATCGTATAAGTTTGAAAGGATAATAAAACATAAAAAAAATATTTTGTGTAAAAACTTTGATCTGCAATTAGTATTTACTTTGTCAACTACCATAAATTGTTTATTAAAATTGATCAAGTACCTATTCATATGTTTTTAACGCTATAATAATTATTTATTTTATTAGATGATAATTGCACTTATAATCTCTAATTTATTTATTAATTATAATAAACATAGTTAAATCAATTGATTTATAAAAAAATAAATAGTACAATTAAAATCCTTTTAATTACTTCATGTGAAGTTTAGTAATTTACATTTAATCTACTATTTAATACAACCAGATAAATTGGTACTTTCATATGTGACTTACCAAGATGAAATTAAAAAAAATATATGTGTAAGATGTATATAAAAATTAAAGTTTATCGGATTTTTTTAATTAATTCAAATTATCTATAAATTAAATTTATAATAAAAGAGAATATCACTTTAACTTTAACCCAAAATCTCCAAACAACTTATTTATATATTTTTTTATTTATAACTTATTTAACTTTTTATATTTAATTAGGCTCTATAACTTATACTTAAATTTCAATGTATTAGAAAAATATAAAACTTCAAATGTTTGCAAACTAACGCTTTTTTCATCATAATGGTGCAATTGTTTTTTAAAATTTACTAAAATAAATAAATTTTTTAAAAAGACATTTATAATTTTCAAATAAAAAAATAATATTTCATAAATACAATTTTTTTAAAATATATATTTTTTAAAGTTTAAAAAGAAGTCATACCATCTATTAGAAATTCAATATAAATATTATATTGAATTATACAGTAATACGACTTCAATTTTTGGTATTATAATAATAATTATTATATTATTTTTAATATATAATAATATTTTTTATACTATTGATAACTTAATATATGTAATTATTTTTTTATTAATATTATTTTTATAATTAATAGTAAAATTAATAATAATTATATTTATATTATTAATTTAAATAATAAGTGTTATTATATTAGTTTTAATAATAATATTATTATAAAATTATTAATAGTGAAATAGTATTATAATACTATTTTATTTTTAATATCAAAATTATTAATATTATTTTATTATTATTAATATTATCTTATTACTAATAATAATATTATTCTTATCATTATTATTTTAGTAATATTTAATATATTTTTAATATAATTTTTTTATTTTACTAATACTAAAATAAATTTAATAATAAGATAATATTATCAATAGTATTAATAATAAAATAATATTAATATTTTTAATATTAATAATAATAGAATTACTAATAATATTATTAGTACTAAAATAATAATAAGAAGAAGGTAATATTACTATTATTATTTTAGTATTAATAATTATGAAGTAATATTTGTAATAATATTACTAATAAAATTAGTATAATAATACTTATTATTTAAATTAACAATATAAGCATAATTGTTATTTATTTTGTTATTAATTATATTAAAAATAAAAAAAATAAAATAATTAAATATATTGAATTATTAATAATATAAAAAAATATTAATAATAATATAATAATTATTATTAAAATATAAAAAGTTAAAATCATATTACATTTTATAATTTCTTAAAATTATATATATTTTGAAATAGAAATTATACTATGAAGTATAACTTCTTCGAGTTGTGATTCATAATATAACACAACTTATCTTATGTAAATTTTGTGTTTTAATTATCCAGTAAATTTAAAAAAATAAAAATTACACCAATAATATAAAAACCGCAAACTGACTATTCAAAATTAATGATAAAAACAATAGAAACAGAAGGATACACGTGAAGGTAATACAACTCCTATATAATATCTTGTCAATTATTCAAAGTTGTACGTGTTGGATATTGATTCCAGTGGGGAACTTTTGATTGACCAAATTGGTCTGCATTTATACAATCTCATGTCTAAACTCAGAAAGTTTTTAATTAACACAATTATTTAAGTAAAAGTAAGATTGATTGTTTGGTACCAATTTAATGGTGAAGGCAATGGAAGAGAGAGACATATACCTGTAAATTGCCATGCTCTCTAACATCGTGTACCCTTAATGAAGACGCATGAATTTGACACATACGTTAACTGAATGCTACTTAGTAAAACGGGAATCAATTGGTATGAAAAAAGATGTAATATTGGCAAAAATTTGTAAAAGAAAGAAGCCACTCAAACCCTCAGAGTGCCAAGTAGGTCCAACAACTCTAAAAAATCTCATATTTTCCCTCTTTGGAGCCACAGCTGGATCATCCTCAAAAAGACCAAACCATCTTTAAATAGATTCTAAATCAGAAGTTGATGAGATGAAAATCAGAATTAGAGGTTAATAAATTGAGTTTTAAATATGTCCATGGAGATGTAAAATGTGGATGTTGTTATTGTTAACAAATGTACTAAATAAAGCTAAATATTATGGTGTCAAAAACTGAATGGCATAATTGATTATTATAGGTTTTAGAATGAATTTCCTGAAATTCTAATATTAATTTTTTAGAGTTAAAATAATAATTATCATAATTATAATATTAATGACCAAGTGAAAAATTAAAATATTCTAACTAATATTTAAATGTATTATTATTTTATCAAATAAAACTTCTCCAAAAAAAACTAAATCTCTCTTCAGCTGATTGAGATTAGTCACTGTGACTTGCTGATTATTCTTTTTGATAAACAATTAAATCTCTCTTATTATCATGACACGTGACATATTCAGAAACTCCTCAAAACTTTTTTATTTCACATTCTCCATCTCGTTATACAATGTTTGTTATCGAATTTGTATTACTAGACTATCATTTTTATATTCATTCTCCAATGATCACACGCTTTAAGGTTTTGACTCTTTCTATCTTATCTAGGATTGATTCATCAACAATTCGGTAGATCAGGTAGAGGACTGCGTTATCACGCTTCTCTCTCAACACTTTATGTGCGGTAGCTAACAATCTTTCGATACTCTAGTTCTTCAAGTTCTATCGTATTCAAATCGTAATTCTTGATACCAATTTGATAACAAAAAGATTGAGAAAACTAAATGTTATTATTTTTTTATAGTGTGAAAAACTAAATGATACAATTATGTATTTACGGGTTTACAATGAACTTTTTTGAAATCCTAACATTAACTTCCTAATATCAAAATAATAATTCCTAGAATTGCAATATTAACTATTCATCGTATCTAAAAAATAAAAATATTCCAACTTATTTTTTATTTATTTTTATCCAAAAAGTTGTTTAAAGTGCAACATATTCGGCACAAATTGGTAATGCAACTGATTATGATGATGATTTAATAAATCAAGGACCAATGGTTAAATTCTGCTTTGTTATATCAGGAGGCGCTTTGGAGGGAGAATGCAAAGGTAAGTAATTTGCAAATGGTGACAGAAATAAAAATTATTTTCACAGGAAAGTTGCCATGCAGCATTTAATAAGATTTCCCTTTTGAAGAAGGGATCTAATATAATTACTGAAAAAATCAGAGATCGAGATCATGTGGTAGTGGAAAATTTTGAATATATCTTTACTAGCTTTAATAACTATTTGGATCCTTCTAGTTTGATTAAGTATGCTATGCCTAAACTAGTTAATGATGCAGATACTAAGATTCTGATTCAAGTGACTTCACTAAACGAAGTAAAAGATACAGTTTTTAAACTTGGTTCATCAAGTGCATACTCTTGATGGCTTCAACGGGGCATTTTATCTAATGAAACAAAGGATTGAATGATAATTTGACGGTAAAATCATTCATACAAGAGGTAAAAGATAAACTTCATCACAACTAACGAGGGATAGTTGTGAAAACAACGTGGAAATGGAGTATTGTCAATTAGTGGAAGTCTGAAACTTGCATGTCTACTACATAAAACTCCTACAGAAACCAATAATCACCACAACTAACAAGAGATAGTGTTTATGGAGAGACTTGAAAAAAATAAGTAGTTATTTATTAAGTAGGTGCCCGTCACAATGAAGTCACGGACGGTTGTGAAAATGATTATTGATATGATGATTTAGATAGTTTATGGGTTAAATCATACTCTATTCTTCATTCTTAATTTGTTTTTTGTTTGAATTTAACAATTTACATTTTTAATTATTAAAATTAATTCATTGATATTAAAATTTTATTCAATAGTTGATGAAAATGTGATAAAAAGTTTCATCAAATGTTAAAATACCAAATCACACAAATCATTCACCATCAAACATGAATCCATTAGTGTACGTTGGTCTAGTTTAACGTGACTTTAAATTCGTGTCATGAATATGTAATCAAATTATATATTTGAAGAAACGAAGTTTTGTTCTTAATGATTTTGATTCACAGTTTTTTCTTATGAAAATCACTATAACAAGGTGGTGAGCGTTGTCCTAAAAACACTATATTTTTCTTTTATTGGATTAAACTTGTCACACAAGAGTGATTCATGGATCTACATAACCAATTTCGATAAAAATCAGGAGACATTGATAATATTGCTGCTTAATTTCTACAATAATTGTTGCAGCACGATTTCTACAATGGTTATAATGTATACTTATAACTGCATTCAACCGTATGGTTATTTTCTTCTCTCTCTCTCTTTTTTTTTTTTTTCAAAAGAAGAAGAAAGAAACAGATGTAGCATATAACATAATAAAATAACATTAAGATACTCAAGTAACTATACATATTATATTTTTAAATATAAACAGAAAGGTGATATAGCAAATAGATTAAGTGAGATTCAGACCAACATGGAAGCCAATTTCCAATGACCCTTAAACATCTGAAGCTGGCTCAAGATGGGAGTCAGTTTAAACAGTTTGAAATTGGAGAACAATCCTCTCAGCAACTTGGCTGTTCATGCAGTCTAGTCGACAAACGAGCATATAGACATCTGCCCCAAAAATCAGTTCAGTCTCTTTGTGCTGTCTTCCTCAAGGTGAAAAAAGCACGTTTGCCACATAGTTCGCAAGCTGTTAACTTGGTCACAGAATCAACCAGAGGAAATCATGTGAAGCACTGAGCCAAAGCTTCTCCTTAAGTAATCACCAGCCAGGCCTGCATCAATTACGGTTTTACCATCTTCATCAGCAGCTTTGCACCAAAACTCATATAGGTCCTAAAAAACTGAGCCTTGTCTATGCCAATCGCATCCAACTTCTGATAAGCATCGTAGCCGTATTTATCTCTGAAAGACAACAAGTCCGGTGATGTCCAGCAAGGAGATTTAATCCCATCTCGAGCCACAACCGAGTCTGTAGCATATCTTGTATCCTTGCTCGATTTCAAATCACCACATTCCTGGCAGCGTTGAGCTCGGATTTCATGCCACGAAGAAGGGCAGTGGCCTTGCCAGCAAACATGGACCCACAATAACATGGATCTCACCAGATGAGTGAGAAAGGTATTTGGTCTGCAGTGAGAGGGAGGACGAAGAAGAAGCCACGGACGGAGAAACAAGTTTGAACGTGAAAAGGCACGTTTGGGGTTTGGTGAGAAAGGATCATTCCATATTTATAGAGGAGTTTTGAGAACAGGAACCTAACATTGATTTTATTTGATACGGTTTAGAGGGAGGATTTAAGCGTGGAGGGGAAAAAAAAACTTTGAGACACGTACGATACGATTTGAACTGGCGGGAAACATTATTTTTTAATTCCGAGGGAAAATAAGAACACCCGGAAACATGCGTTTTGAATTGGCGGGAAACCATATTTTTTTAATGTTTGTGAATGTTTTCAACTTTTTATCGTTTTCTCATTCTTAATCTACACAACCTATGTATTAATTTTATTTTATTTTATTGAGAAAAGGGTCTATTTGAACATAGCAAGAATTAGACACCAAAAGTTTAGAAATATAGAAGAACCCTGTATACAGTAGTGTAAAAATTTAAATGCATAAGTTAGCATTGCTCTTTTATTCACAGTGAAGCGCTTAAATATGCGGATCGTGGAGTATATTTGATGGGTTGCATTCCTCAATAAACAGCACCTAGAAGTTACTATAGAGAGGAAGAGTGAGCACGAAAAAATAAGAATTAATTTTGTCTAGGGACCTATTGGCCTACATCGTTTTCCTTTCAAAAAAGAGGTATGAATTTGACACATACGTTAACATACGGAATAGATTACGTTAATGCTACTTTGTATAACAGGTATCAATTTGTATGAATAGAGGTGTAATATTGATACAAATTTGATACAATACACTAGCAGTTCAAACCCCAATCGTAAGGCTGATATATCACCTTCAACTCAGAAGTGGCAAGTAGGTCAAACAATAATTCTGAGTCAGCTGGATCTAAGTAGCTTGACACATGCTTCAGGACCTCTACCTCATTCTTACCAAAATCTAGACTAAACCTGAGTGTCAATAAGGAGAAATATTAGAATTGTCAAAGTAAGATCAATGGCACTTCTGCTTGTTAATTATCAAATGTTTCATAATCGTCACAGTAGGGAAAGAATGTGCATATTCAAAGTTTTATGAAGGTATATGAACGTATATAGTTCAAGGGATACTGTCCGCGAGTCCAAAATGTAAAATCGTAAATACTTTTAACCAAGCTAAGTACAGAATTTGTGAAGTTATCGGAGAGAATGTGCTTAGGAACATGAAATATTCAACAATTTCTTAATCTAAATTAACCTAAAGCACATCAATCATATTCAGAATCTCTTAAAGAACCTACCATTTAAGGATCTTACTGGCATATGCAACCTTTGCAGTAAAATCTATTGAAAGGCCCCCACTTCTTAAGAAATTACGGGCTGCATCCATTAATTCTTTGTCAATGTCCCCGGGAGAATAGCACCGAAGTGAGGGTCCAGATCGAGTACCATATACTAAAGCAAAATGAATAAGGGGCTCGGGGAAGGGGAGGGCCACCTAAAAAAGGGGAGTGAAAAGTGAGCACCAAATCAGTAGCTATGCTTGTGGTAACTCATGGTGAAAGCATGTAGATCAAACACCAAAAGGTAAAGCATTACATACTCAGACCTAGAAATAAATGACATAGCAAACGCTTTGCATGCCATACACTCACTTAAAGCCATGGTTAATCAAATTAACAGAAAATAAAACAAAATACAAACATTAAGTGTTGTAGTAGATGGTGATCAGGAACTAGAGCAACATAATTCAGGAAGAGAGTTAAGATAGGTCGAAGAAAATGATAAAAAGGGGGAGGGATTAAAACATAAAATGCAGCTAATCTTGCTGCAGAACAAGCTATTATTGCAAGAATAAAAAATACTAACATAAGCTTAAACATCATTCTTTTTTCTCTTTTATTCTGCAACCACAACACACGAAAGCATTCCCTCCATCCCCTATAAAGTCTTTTCTTGTGCCTTCACGTGCATCTACACACACCTCGGCGCGCTTCTTGCACCTCTTTCCAAGCCTCCACGGACGTCTCCGTGTGCTTTATTTTCAATTTATTATTTTGCCTTTTGATTAAATTCTCACTTCTTTTTTATTTATTCCTACAGTACTTGTTGTATAAACTATGACAATTCCATTTCGTACTACCCTACGTTACTCCTCCGATTAGTAACCTATCTATTAACAATTGTAGTTTTGCCACGTCTAGTAACAGTAAGAAGAATAATTTTGAACAAAAAGATGGAGGTCTAAGTAACATAGCCCATTACTTCATGGAATTATTTTGAAAATATCGATCTAGTTGAAGGGGTGGAAAAATGTAAATGTATAAATTGTGGGAAATTGTATCATGCAGAGAGATTTCAGGACCAATCACTAAGGTGACATATTTCCAAATAAAATGTATTTGAGATTGGATAATAAAGTTAATTTATTGAAACAATGAAAATTTAACTCTAAAATTTATTAAAATGCATTTGCTCAATGTATTATTAAGCATATATGTTATTATTGTTGTCTCATACTACGGATGTGATACTTATTAAACGATAAACTTCTGGATAATGATATTTTATGGCTTTATTTTGTATAAATAAGTTGTGAACTAATTTTGAATAAGTAAATAAATGATACATTATTTTTTCAAACAAAAAAAAATTGCATAAACAAATTGTAACTTTTATTTTTAATTATGTCAAATGGTCAATTGATCTATTAAACAAAAATGACATGTTTTAAACTATAAGTCAAACTAGATTAAATTTTTTTTTTATTTGATTTATATGACAAAGTTAGGCTGAATCGGTCCATTCATTTGACAGCCTAAATATCACAAAGAGAAAGTATATCCACTACATTATAATATGATATCTAAAAGATGTTGATTAGAAGTTGTTAGAATAACATGCACTTCATGTATCACATGTTAAATACTTTTAGTTTTTTATACATGAGATAGTAGCACCTATTTACTCTTATCGTAGCATATAATTTCCCCAGAGTCTATATATATGTGTGCGTGTTCTACATAACCTATGTTGCTTAAAATCAGTCAATTTCACTTGAGCAACTCCATCCTTTCTCCTTCTCTTTCTCTCTCTCACCATCTAAATTCAACAGAAATCCCTATATCTATACTAGACTTATAAACATATTATTGAACCTAGCCCAATATTTTAAGGTGCAAATCTTAAGCCCAAGTCTCATCCAAAAACATGTTAGTCATCTAAACACTTACTAGAAGAGGAAAAATAAACTTGAAGGCAGAATAAAATAGAGCATTCTTATTCGCTAAAATTCCAATTATAGGAGCTGTAAAAGAAAGGGAAAAATTCAGGTCTAAAGAATAAAGAGAATAAACTTTGAAGAGACTTTTATATACTACTTAAAAAGGTACTAATGTCAGTATGAAGCAAATCTAACACCGTGGGAATACAAGCAAAGCTCAATCATAAATGAACACCTTCACTTTAAAGGTTGAATGAATAAAGAACAAGAATATCTTACCCTTAAACGTTTATCTTTTGCACCGAATGGCTTCATAAGGGTATATGGTTGCCGCTGGTTCCCCCTCAAAATGCCATTTTGAATGGCTGAAAGTGAGTAGGTGAATCCACCGATAACATATTTAAAGTCTCCAAACAATTTCCTTCTTTCGAGTGGTCCAGAAGGGTGACCCCATACTAAGATTGCATGGATGGCCATCATATTATATAGATTAATAAAAAAAGCAAGCTTCTCTTCTCTAGACAAATTCCATACTTCCCCTCTTTGGAGCTCTTCAATTATTCTTAGATATCTAAACGAAAAACAGATGTATAAATAACAGTGTTAAATTCTAGGAATAACTATATGCTTTTTCATCATTAAATGGGCACTTCTGAGTAAGTAAACCAAAAGACAGATTAGAAAAACCTTGCAAATTCCTCACTTCCATGCATACTTCTGTAGTCAACATGACGGCCATCTTCAGAAGCATAGGCTTCAAACATCGCATAGGACAAAAGTCTTAGCCTCGATGCAACTTCGGTCATAGGCTTAGGTTTCACAGTAATTATCCCCCTGGGAATGTTGTGACAAAAAGATGCCACGGTTGGATCATCATCCAAAAACCGATATAGTTGGTTACCATCCTCAAATAGATTCTCACTATAGGAAAAAAAAAACAATTGAACATGTAAGAATTTTCATTTCTTTTCCAAAAAATACGGAAAGTGGAAACACCAAATGGAGTAGTACTTGGACTCACTCAAAAACATGCTGAAAGAAGAGTTTGCTGGCAAGTTTTCGTGCAAACTCAACAGCCTATACCATCAGACAAGAATAAGGAAGATAGAAAAGACATTCTGAAGATAGAAATTCTGAAATAGTATAAAATGAGTTGGATAAACAGCGGATGATATGTTCGATCATGTGATCGTAAAAGTAGGAAGACTGAAATTTCAAAAACAAACAGGTGCTTCAGAAAAAAGCTTTTTAACAGGATACATATCACAAATATTAAAAGGTGACTTATTTAATAGTATTCACCTAAATCAGAATGCTTCCATACTGAAGACACGTCAATCAAATGGAAATTTTTATGAAGACATTACATCAATTTCAATGGGTCAGTTTGTTTGTGCTTTTTTTCTTTAAATATTTTTTTAATAAAATAAACATCTGCTTTTTTATATATATTTTTCTAACTTGTTTATTTTAAAAATAAGCAGTTTATTTCTGGCTTTTTTAAGAAGCAAATCCTATCTACTTTTTAAAAATTACTTATTTCAGAACACTTAAGATGTGGATCACCAGTCAATTCAAACTAAAGATAAGCTAAACAAACCACAAAAATCACCTAAGCAGAATCAATTATTAAAGGCCATTTCTGCAATCTGAAGGACAAAACACCTAGAAGAAACAAGCTATAAGAAAATAAAATCAACATGTGCGATGAGGTAGTTCCTTCAGTGAAAGAAAAGACCGTGAAAAACTAATGAAGTAAAATTATCAAATTATACATCTTATAACCTTCAGATAGAAAGGTAACCCAGGAGGTATACAATTTGTCCTTTGTTTGTAATAATAACTATTAACAAGCAATATTGAAGAGGAATGTAAAAGAAAAAAAGGATGAAAGGATAGAAAAACAACCCAAACAGAAAGCCACTATCTGATAAAAGGGATAAATTATAAATTTAGTCCCTATACATGTCACTTCATTTCAGACTCTTCATGAAAAAACTCTACAGTTTGATTCCAATACGAAAAGTTGTTTTCAATTAGTCTTACCACTTATTAAAGTTATAATTGTGATGGATATTCTTTTCATACAAGGAACAAAACGAAAAATGATATGACAAGGGTGGGGATGAAAATGTAGAATTTTTTCTATATAGAGACCAAAATTAAGTCTGTAACTTTCACATAGGGCCTTAATGAAAAATGATGTCAAGTAAAGAGACCAAATCTAATACCGTTACAACTTAAGCAAACAGCAGGGATCAAAACAGGAATCATTTTTTCATGTAGAAATTAAAGTGTAGAGCTATTTCACATAAATTAAAAAGGAAAATTATAATAAGTGTAAACACCAATTTTTTAATTTAATCTAAATAATATCTTCAAACAGAACCTACCAGATACTTAATGATTTGTTAATAAAGACATCAATAAGAGGAATTACAAGACCATAAACCTACAAGTTACACGTACAAATTAAGCTAAGTCATAGTCTCCGTATTTTGTGATTAAAAAGAAATCAAAAGCAATTAGGTTCTCATTTCTCAAACATTGATTCCGTTCAACTTAATAATAAAAGCTGTAAGAGACATCACACAAAAAGGACAAACTTTCTAGAGCATTAATTGCATAACTATTCTTGTTTGGGACAACCAAATTTTATAAATGCATCAAACGATTACACTTGGGGGAATATACATCGTTGTTAAAGCACACTAGAACGTGATCGAAACTTGAGATCAAGCTTACCTCTTTCCTTTCCAAATACTGATCTTCTGATAAGAAGTCCACGGCATCAGAAGCAATGAAGCAGTTAGTAAACCTCCGCATTTTAAAAAATCGGTCCTGCACAACAATGCATTCTTTCATTTTGCGGACAATTAGAGCCATTTCATCAAGTGCCCCTCTACTGGATACATCATCCTCTCCAGAAAGTGGCGGAACTGGGCATTCAAATGATGGTACTTCATTAATAAGGTAGTCAATCTTCTCATTAAGCTTGCCAGACTCATTTAAGGACTTAAGCTTACTCAACCCTCCAATAAGTATTCCATTGAAAAAAACCTTGGGAATAGAAGTAGATCCTGACTTCTTCTCCAGCTCCATCTTTCTACTGGGATACACATCAATATTGATTTCAACATATCTAAGCCTTTTCATATACAAAAATTTCCTAACCTCTTTACATTCTGGGCACCCTAGTCTTGTGTACACTATAATCCTTCCTTTCATGACTATAGGTAGTGGTGGACCTTCAGATATGGGTTCCTCACTCGGGACAGTTCTATTTTCAGCAACAATATCAGATGATGGTCTAATATAATATAAGGGGTTCCAAGTTGTTTCCTCTCTCTTCTCAGAAACCTCTTTCGTATCACTTTCTCTTGATAAATCTGAAGTGTCCTTACCCACACCACCAGAATTACCCACAGCAGATTCGTCTCTTTTTCCAGAAAGGTGACGAAGCACCATAGACATTGCTATTATACTTTTCTCCCTAACAAAGTCTCTAAGAGATATTGTCTTCCCCACCACACGCGGAGCCTCCGGATTAGTCTGCGAAGTATCCATAAATGTGCTGCATTCACAGCCAAGAACCTCAGCTCCACCAACTTCAGGCTCCAAATTATTGTACTCTGAACTGTTCTCTGTCTTTTGATTCGCTTGTGCAGATTCCATGCTTCTGCTGTCATCCTCCTCTATGGACAAACCCTGCTGTACAAAACTATTTTCTTGACTTTTAGGCTCAAAATCTCCACTGCATTCTCCCTTAACACCAGGACATTCTTGTCCAATAATGCTAACTTCAACTTCAGGTTCCATGGAATCACTTTCATGCTCCTTTTGAAACAAGTCATCTTGTTGAGGTCCACTCGGCAAACCACAATTATCCCCCACCCGTTGAGCCAACTGAGGTTCTACTGCCACATTGTCTTTAATTTCCTCGTAAGTACTCAACTCTACATCTATCACTTCATCCAACCCGTCCGGCATACTCTCTCGCTCATCATCAAACTCAGGGGCATCATGACTAATATTCTGAATTTTCCCCTGCTTTGATTCCTTCTCATGTTCTTCACTCTGAATGGTAAAACAGTCTCCTTCCAGTTTTTCAGCATCTTGAGAACATACATTGTCCGATGCATCTTCTTGATCATTGCCAAACTCAGAAACATCACAGCCTACATTTTGAGTTTTCGGCCGCACTGAATGTTTTTCCCTATCTTCTTCACTCGAATCCCCTTCTACCTCTCCAACGGCCCGAGGACTTGGCTCATCTGTCTCTTCTAATTCTCTTTTTTTCATCGTGAATGCAGCCAAGAATCACATTTTCCACATGCTACATATTCTAGGCGCCACAACAAACTCAGCACCACATAAATTAACACACTGTTTCTGACCTGTCTCCTAATAAAACCAACGATGAGTGTGTAGCACTCAACTATAAGCAAAAGCAAACCCTGAACGTTACATGAAATTAAGAGCCAGAAAGTAAGAGGTAGTAGCAGCAGTAAGTTAACCATGAAACAAATTCACTGAAGGAGTAACAAAAATTCCAATTTATTACCACAGCAACACAAGGCCTTCCAAATTTAGTCTTACATTTCGCTTGTGAAAACTACAAGGGGCAAGGAATTGCAACTCATTCAATGAAATTTGCAAACAGAAACAGCAGAACCTGTGCAAAAATAACAGCCTGATTAATTTGATAAGGTTCGCTACACATTAGAACTCGGAACACGGGTTTGGTTTGTAGCCAAACCAAACAAAGGGTTTTATGGAAAAATATCATGACAAACATTGCGGGAAAGAAATGAGAAAATTGGCTAATGAAAAGAGAAAATGAAAAGGAGGGAGAAGTTACCGATCCGATGAGAATTGAATTGGCGCAGAAAAAAACGACGCGGGGAGGGGTTAGGTTCGTGTGCGTTGCGCAGCGTTGCGTTGAGGTTTGAGTAGAAAGTCGAAGGTTGAAAAGGAAGGATGATTCAGACAGCCAGGAGGTGCGGGAGAAGCGGGAAGTGCAAACACCATTGTGCAAGAGTAACACCATGTATTATTCTTGGAAAAACATTATACAATTAATTATAATTTAATTACTATACAAACTGTTAGTCACTCCACACTTAGTAATTTATATTTCATAATATTGATATAAATTAGTTAAAGATAATAACAAATATAATGGAAAACTTTAAACAGATAATAATTTATAAATAATAATAATAATATCAGTGTATTGTAGATAAAAAAAATTGTGATGTGATAATCTTTTAAGTGCTTATATGATAAAATTAGTGACTAATCAATATAATTTCAGTTACATTAATTCTTATATAATATGTAACTCTCTCCATAAGAAAAAAATATATAAATATGAGAGGTAAGATGTATTTATGGTTTACTTAAATTAATACTAATAAATTATCTTAATTATTAAATTATAAAAAAATGTTGAGAATAAATCTTTCATGTTTTTTCTTTCTTTTTCATTATAGGGTAAAATATATAAAAAGAGTTCTTATAAATATATAATATTATTATATATTTATAGGTAGAAAGAATATTTTGTTAATCACTTTAATATAAATTTACGTATTTGATCTAAGTTAGGGATGACAATTAAACTCGTCCCGGCTCCGAGTTTGACGGAAAAAATTCGAGTTGATCGGGGCGAGGGCGGGGCGGGTTCAGGTTTTTCCCGCTTTAAAAAGTCGGGCGGGGATGGGTAATGCAATCCCCACCCGACCCCACCCCGACTTTATATTTAAATTTAAATTTTAAAATATTAATATTTTAAAAGTATTTTCTTTTCTTTTTCTATTACATATAAGGTCATTTTTTTATATTTTACCAATTTTTATTTTTCTTCTACCTATTTTTTATTTTTTTTTATCTTTTATATCAATTAATTTATTATATTATTCTCTCTCGAGTTTTTCATATTTTATTAATCTCTCTCATCAATTTGTTTTTTTTTCAATCTTTTCAATCAATTTGATGAACACAGTTAATTTTTTTATTCTTTATATTTTTCTAAATATTTTACATAAATCTTAATAATAACTAATATTATTTTATTTATAATTTATATTTATTAGGTTTTATTATGTCATTTGTTTATCTTATTATTCAATTATCATATATCAAATTTTATCTTAATAAAATAATTGTATTTTAAAGGATTAAAGGAATTGATAATTTAAACTTTTATTACTTTGAATTAATTGAATAATAATTAAATTATTAAATATTTCATTATAAACTATATATTTCATATTTTTAAATTACAACTTAAAAATGAATTAACTTAATTTATATATATATATATATATATATAATCAAATGTTTGAATACAGTATTATAATAATAATGATAATGTTATAAGTATTCAAATATTTGAATACGATATTATAATAATAATAATAATAATAATGTTATAAATAAAAAATGATTACATATTTCTTTTACATACATATTTTAATATAAATATAATAAATTAAAATGTATATTTAATTAATAATTATTATAAATTATAAAATTATAAATATTTATTTATATATAAAAAATAAATAGTAAATTTAATTTATTATAAATGTAATTATCTTTTTAAAAATAATATAGATCGGGGACGGAGCGAGGACGGGGAACCCAAAACCCAGCGGAGACGGGGATGAAGACTTAATTTCTAACCTCGGCGGGGATCGGGGCGGGAACGGGGATGCTTAAAAAGTCGGAGATGGGGATCGGGGAGGCAAAACTCGCCCCGCCCGTTGCCATGCCTTTAAGTTTATGATATTAAAAAAAACAAGTTCAAGGACTTTTTCTTAGGAAACTTAACAATTTATGTCACAAACTTGTTTTACATCCTAATTATTTATTTTCGATTTCCTAGTTTTTTATTAAAGTGTTTTAATTTTTAATGAACAAAAAATAATATATTTATTGTGTTTTTAGTGAAAATTTTGATTTTTTTTACAAAATTATTAATAAGATGAAATTTATTTTCTCATTAAACTAAATAAAGGAATGAAGAGTTTAGCATCATATGAAATTAGTACAAAATTGAATAGTGTTCAAGTATGAATGATGTTCTAACATAAAATTCAATAAGTGATAGAAAAGAACAATCAGTCAAAGAAAAAACTTCTAAATATTTGTTATGTAAAGACTAACAGTTTGTGTATTAATACTTATTATCTGTGTAATTTACTACTTAGTTTGTGCAATGCTTACGTGTGGAGCAACTTATTTATTTTGTGTAAACTATTAAATAATAATATATAAGGAAGTCATATCGGAAATAATATATATTAAAATAATTTATGACATAAAAATATATATTATATAAAATTATTAAAATTTATAAATAAATATTCACCTAAAATAAATATATATGAGATTAAATATATGTAAAATATTTTGTGATATTTTATATTATAAAATCTATTAATTATTATATATTTTATAATATAAATTAGATAATAATATTTTGAATATTATTCATTAAATTTAAATTTAATAAGTTAAAATTATTTTATTATATATTACTTTTTTTCTTAAAAATAATATATAATTTTGTTTATAGATATTTTTAAAATTTAATTTTCTTTTTTACATTTTAATATAATATTATAAAATATTAAAATAACTGATAGTAAATAATATATTTAATAATATGCTATAATAATTAAAAAATACATAAAAAAATTATTTACTGTAAGAAAAAGTGAAAATTAAAGAAAAAATCCTATACTTTTGTATTAGGATGAAAATGTGAAAGGTAAATGCAAGTGAAACAAAATGAAAGTGAAAAAGGACAAAATAAAAAGGTAAAAATATGAAATTGAAGTATAAGAAGTGAGAAGATAGAAAAATAAAAAATATAATAATATATTTTTATATTTAAACAACAAAATTTAATTTTTATTTTTTTATAAGTATATATATAAACAAAATAATAAAAATTTTGGGATGTGTTGACGTGAATCACAATTACACAAGGGGTAATTTAGGATCTTTAGGGTTAGAACCTTGTAAGAAATTTAGGAATTAGAAAGAAGGTGGAAGGAAAGAATCACTTTTCCCAAGGGAAGCAACACACAAAGGATGTGAAAGTCCTTTGATACTGCCAAGGGTTCTTGAATCACTCAAGAATTTAGGAGAATCACTCTCACTAAGATAAAAGAGATAAACTCTAATATTTCTAAATAAAATTCCATTTATTATTTCTTGATAAGAATGGTTCAAGTGATATAGAAGCGTTGCCATCGAATTACAAAAGACTCAATAAAAGAAAATAAATATTAATAATAACCCATTAATCTAGGAATTGAAAACTATTTAATGGAAACAAATAAAGGCTAATAATGATCCATTAACCTAGGAATTAAAACTACTTAATGACTGATTGTATCTAAAGCTGTGGCAACCAAAAGTCAATCAGCTTATGCACCCCTTGGTCTCCGAAAGGTCGATGACTAAATTTTCAATTGGGCCCTTATTACAACTTAAAACAAAATCAAACTAAAGTCCATTAATTGATTAATCCAAAACACAATTTGGTCAACCAACAATACTTGTTGAAGAGCTTCCTTTGTTCCTCTTCGCCTTATCATAGTTCACTGTATCATATATGTATATGTATCACATGTGTATATATATATATATATATATATAATTGTTAAAAAATATATTGGTTAGAAATAAGGGTTTTATAATTTAGTAGTTTAAAAATAAAATAAAATATTTAAAATAAAATAAAATAATTTATATAAATAATTTTTATCTAATTTTAAGCAGTTCATTTTTTTCATAATATAATATTTAATTTAATTTTTAAGAATTTTTTGAACAAAAGATTTCTAATAATAATTAGTTATTATATTAGTGTGAGTAATCATTTCAAAGATAACATTAAAGTGTTCAAAATAATGTGCTTTTCAAAATCTCATTACCACAAAAACATATTAGTGTTAATGTTTCATTTCACTACAAGTGTCATATTTAGTAACTAATTAAAAATCGCAACCTTTATTAATTTGAGTGTCTAGTTTTGTTTTGAAACCTTATCACTCCATTGTTTATGTAAAATCGAACTATTTTATGATTATTTTCACTAAGTTTTGCTTTTTCTTTCATTAAAAAATTTGTTTAATCTTAAAACATTTTGGTTATCCCTACTTTCTTTTAGTATTTTTCTTTTTACTTTAGTATAATATATTGTTATATATATTGCTAAAATATCTTATTGTGATATTCATTCCTTGATCGATAATGATGTTTTTTAGTAAAAAAAGTTTGAGTAATAATTTTTACGGAAGTTTACATTGTTAATGAGAGAATTTAGTTGAATAATCATCACAATTTCTTCTCGGTCAATATATAACAAACAGTACAAGAGGTAACACATGTTTAAAAATAATATTAATGTTATCTTTGTCACTATAGAAAACATGTCTGAAAATACAAGAAGCAAAGAAAATACTTCTATAAAAATTATTCAAAACATTAAAATTAAGAAATAAAAATAAAATAAGATTAAATAATAAGAGAAAAAAATATAAAGTTAATTTTTTTCTTGTTATTTTTATCCATTTACGAAAAAGTAGAGTTTTTAATTTTTTTAAAACTTTTATCAAAATATCATTATTTGTGACATATTTAAGACTAATTTAATTGATGTCGAAGATTATTCCACAAGTGATATGTTATACTAAAAAGCTAAATAATCCATTAATAATGATGGTTTCATCTTTATATATATATATATATATATATATATATATATATATATATATATATATATATTAACTACAATAGTTAGACCTTTATATATAATATTAATTAATAATTAATATTATATATAAATTAAAATAAATGATTTTTTTATAATATATTTTTTTAACCTTATTAAAATAATCTTTAAGAGGGGATTAATTTTTTCAAATTATAATTTTAAAAAATATTATTGATCCCAAAATTATCAGTCTATCATGTTATTGTAAGCTTATAATAATTTTAAGAAACAACTGATCTTTAATAATGAATTTAAAAAAAAAAGAATTGAAATGAATTGTTGTGAAGTTACTCTGCTAATTTCATCTTTCCTTATTTTAAAAAAAGTAATGTCTAAATTAATATATATATATATATATATATATATATATATATATATTATTATTTTTTTTTTTAAATACCAATAATCTCCCACGTTGGGGTAAATTATTAATAATTAAAACAAAAACCAAATTAGATCTTATCTCGCTATATTTACAACTGAAAACGGAGATGCGATTACGAGCTGGTCGAGGCCATTGCTTCCGCGATGATCTTCTTCGTCTTATCGTGTTAGGGTTTCTGAAGTTCCACTTTCCCTTCGTTTCTTCTCACTCACTACAATCTTCATGGGCAATTCATTTCACAAACCTATAATTGACCATATCCAACGCAAAACTGCAGTCCTTCATAGTTTCATTTAGCTAATTCGCGAAATCGACGCTATCATTCGACACGGCACGGCACACTGTTCTTTGTGAGAAGCTGGAGATGGCGAGAAAAATGAGTAACTGTGCCATATGCGAGAATTCGAATCAAGCCTCCATTTGTTCCATCTGTGTTAACTACAGGTATCTTTAGTGCAGTTTTTAATTTTATTTTTTGTTATTACCTTTCTTGTATTTGAATGTTTAATTTGTTTATATAATTTTGATGATATTTTTTTTTTAAGGTTGAATGAGTATAATACTTCCTTGAAGTCACTGAAAGACCGTCGAGATTCGTTGTACTCAAAATTGAGCGATGTTCTTGTCCGCAAGGTTTGAATTATGGCTTGTCTTGTAATACAGTCTTAGTAGAGTTTTAAAAATGATATGATCCTATTCCATTTTATTTTAAATGCATGGAGTGCAACACAATTTTTAAGCTTTGGGCATGGATAGAAAAAAAAATGTAAAATAAATGCACAAAGCAATTTAAGGAGACCTAAAATTGAATGGTGGTTTGAAAGAAAGAAATTCTCAAGAGCACCTAATGTGTTACCTGTACTATGACAGTCACATAGAGTTCACTTGCATCCTAGATCGAAATTAATACCTATTCCTGCTCCCAACCTATTATTAAGTTACTCGTAAGTGGTTTAAATAACATGCCTATCTTCTGTTGGTTGTGCCTTTGCTCTGCATGCTTGTGTTGTAACTTTCTTCTTTCCTCATGCATATTAGTGCCAAATTTTTATATTGCTTTTGGCCATTATTGAGTTATATGTATTTTGGAATTTCCCATTAATGTTTAGTGTGCTCTGCTAAAACCTTATATTTTTTGCATGGCACCTTGTGACATTGGTATTCAGTTGATTTAATTCTTGTATGCATAATGGTGATAAGGGAAAGGGAGATGACCAAGCAAATTGGAGAGTGCTTCAAAATGAAAAACTTGCAAGGTTGAAGGAGAAGCTTCGTCACAGTAAGGAACAAGTTACTCAAGGTTAGGAACCTTAGTATGCTGACATGAATTTCTAAGATGCAAATTTCACTCTTTGAACCTAAAGTAATATGTAACATCACAGGAAGAGCTAAGATAGAGACTGTGTCTGCTGATCTGAAACTTAAATATGGGTTACTTGAATCTTCCCTTTCAACGGTACTTGACTTTATTGTGGCAATGCTATTGCTATGGTCATTTGTATTATTGGTCTAGTTTATTTTGAATGTATTTGAAGATGCTGGATGATTTATTTTATTCTTTGCAGCTGGAAAAGAATCGATTGGAACAACTGGAGAAGTTCTACCCCAATCTTATATGCACCCAGAGCCTAGGGCATGTGAGCATTGTTTTTTATGGTTATTTCAATATTTGTATTTTGTTTTTGCGTATAATACTGGTTTTTGACGTAAAATTATATAATATTAGAAATCAGTATTTAAAACTGATAAGCTTTTCCTTAAGATTCAATCACATTCAAGGTTGAAGATTGTTGTTCCTTTAATGGATGGAATATCTATTGCTTTTCATGGAAGCTCAACATTTATCCTTCTAAATTTATCTTGCAGGTGGCGATTACCTCTGAGCGCCTTCACAAGCAGTCTGTGGTCATAAAACAGATATGCAAGTTGTTCCCACAAAAGCGGGTAATATAAACCTATGATGATCAATGTTCTGTCAGTTTAACTCCAATGAATATGCCATTAATTTATGATGTTTGATTACCTCTTAAGGTTGTCAGAAGATTATGTGTACTACTTAGGGTAGAATGCAGTAATCATGTGCATTGTGGATTTGTAATATATAATTGCTTTGGCAGCTCACTAGTTGTTCTTGAAACATTTTCTATGTATACCATATTGTCACTTTAGGGCAATTAGCGTCATCACCACATTGGAAGATTGTGTATTTAATTAGAGAGGATGAATATGTTTGGCTATTATATTGTTACAGTTTCTTCTCTGGCCAAAGCATGAAGAGAGCATTATTCCTAATTTAACTTTTCCATAAAGTTTAAAAGTTTGGTTAATTGAAATGTTACAAAGTGTTTTAACTTTTTGAGATTTGTTTTCTATTTTTCTTTTGTATATATTTGCTAAAGGAAATAGTAGTAATAATGTTATCACACTAGAAAGAGCATTGTTGAGATTTGTGTTTTGACTAAAGAAAATAAAGATTTGTTTGATGTCCTAAATTGAGACGCAGGCATCTCTTTTAATATTGTACGTGTTTGGTCTGAAATAATAAATTGTTTCACAATCATTTTCTATCACTGTTATCACTTCACAAGAGTGAAATGAACTATAGCGATATATGCTCTATTATTTTGCCCCTTGCAAACATGCCTATGGTGCTCATGTTCTTCTGGTGTCAGGTGATCATAGAGGGAGAGATAAAGGATGGTTGTAGTGGTCAATATGATCAAATTTGCAATTCGCGATTACCCAGAGCCCTTGATCCCCACTCCGTTCCATCAGAAGAGCTTTCTGCTTCTTTGGGGTAGGCAATTTTTTCCTTTTATCTAAGGTCTTATCTGCATACATAATGTATAATTTACAAGTGAAATTGCTGGGTAGAAAACATTTTTTGTTCTCAAAATTGTAATATATATTCATGTGAATATTGGTAAGTACATATTTCATACCCTATTTGAGTTCATTCAGTGGTAAAACTAAAATCCTCATTGTTAATTCAATTATAAATGAAAATATTTTTTGTTATTAGTAACCTGTTTTTATGTTTGTATCTTGCAAAGCAGATACATGGTGCAACTTCTAAATCTTGTTGTTCACAACTTGGCTGCCCCAGCACTTCATAACTCAGGTTTTGCGGTAAGCATCGCTTCATTGTCCAAGCAATCGATAAATGTTAAATCATCAATGTATTCAAAATATTCAGATCAAGCATGGTTATTGACCATCATCATCATTTGATGGCCATCGAATGTTAGAATAGCATTGAAACTCAAAATATTCAGGTCAAGCAGGAGGTATTAAGGCATACTAACAACACACTTTTTAATGTACTTCTTCTGACATTAATTGGTTAAAATTTGTTGGAAGATTAAAAATCATGAGTGAGACTCGTAAAGTTTTATGATTTCCTTTTAAATTTTAATCAATAACAGTGTTCAAAAGAGTGTGTTTAAATTTCTCTTTTAATTTGTATCCACTGCTGCTATCTGCATAAAAGTATTCCTTTTTGGGCATTATAAATCTTGTTCCCAAAGCTGTCTATTTGACGCAAGTGTCCCAGCTGAATGTTGACAGGAGTCTAGCAAAAGAGAAATTGTTGAAAAAATTAATTTTTTTTTGCATGTTTTATATATTCTATTGAACGTATATAAAGAACAGGCTTGAGATTTTTCCTAATGTTAGGATTTCCTTTTCCCTTTGTCGTCGAATTTGTGTCATTTAAGTTTTTGTTTATGGCTGATCCATCTGTATTGTCTCAATGATACACTTTTCTTTATATTTTCCTATTCAATGGATATTTATATTGTAAATTTGCAATTGTAATGAATATTTTGTTTGTTTTACTATACCTCAGGGTTCTTGCTCTCGGATATGGCAACGGGATTCCTATTGGGATGCACGTCCTTCCTCCAGGAGGTATTTTGGTCGAAGTTATATTTGGATTGTTTAAACTAATTACTTTAACCTGGTATATTTTCTTTCTTCAGCAATGAATATCCACTTTTTATACCCCGACAAAATTATTGCTCTACTGCCGGGGAAAACTCATGGTCTACTGATAAAAGCTCAAGCAATTTCGGAGTTGCTTCAATGGAATCTGAGAAGAGAAATCGCCTAGATTCATCTGGGAATAGTAACTTCAACTATTCTTTAGCTTCTTCACACTCTGTTCAAACACATAAAGATCTGCAGAAAGGAATTTCACTTTTAAAGAAAAGTGTTGCATGCATCACAGCTTACTGTTACAACTCCCTATGTTTGGATGTCCCTTCAGATGTATCAACGTTTGAGGCATTTGCAAAGTTATTGGCTACACTCTCATCATCTAAGGAAGTTCTATCTGTTTTTTCCCTGAAAATGGCTCAATCTAGGTATTGTTATATTTATTTCATCTGCCATAAAATGCATATAATTCATGATACTTTATACACTAAGTAAAAATATTAGTAAATATTTCCAAATTAACCATATTTTGATGTCTTACGAAACATTTATGTATGAATTAGTTACGACAAAAACCTTACCCCATTAATGGCATTTTGATGTCTTAAGAAGCATTTATAATTTGGCTTCGTTAAAGACAAAACGGTCAGAGATATTCTTTAGCATGAGATTGCTCTTAACAACTGCCTCCAATATTTTTCTTGGTCTCCCTCTTCTCACATGGCTAAAATCTATGCAATCTATTCTCCTCATTCGTGCTTCTAAGTGACCTTTGTATGTATCCAAACCACATTAACTTATTTTCTATTATTTTTTCCCCTAGCGGTGCTACTCCAATATCTGCCTCATACAATCATTTTGTGTGAGAAGATAATTAACCCATTAAATTGTGTAACTATGTAACATGTCTTAATTATGTTTTTAGAACTTGTGTTCTATAAACTATTTATAGTTATTTAATTGCAGCCCTTCATCTCAGTGATCTGGGCTGCTGGTTCTAACTGATGGATTGTTATAAATAACTATGAAGGACAGTTTTTGAATATACTTAGTGTTGATAATCAGGATAGAATATCTATATTTAATGTATATCAGTCTATGGGCAATATAATCACTGATGAAGAGGAAACAAAATATCCTCTAATTATTTGTAATTAATGCAACAAGCCTATATAAACCTATCTCTGTGGTGTCTTTAAACACAGTTCTGTGCCTATTATGCCTCTATATTTCTCTTCTCCTCCTCTTTAACATTTAGTATGTAATTCCAGCCTTTTTTTTGTTGTTGTTGAAACTGGCTGCCAAGAAGAACCATGTAGCTCAGGTCTTAAAAACTTCTGAGGCACTATTGCATATGGGAGCACGTCTCAGAGCTCCATATTCTTAAATTTTGTTTTAGGCCTCTCACTTTTGAATGAAATGGTTTCTGTTTGCAGTAGCATTATGATTTGCACCCAAAGTTTGCTGCAAAGATAACTTGTTTACAATACAGATGCAGATAGCATTGTGGCTGAATTTTTTCTCTTTTTTCCCTTTGATTCAGGACATGCAAGCAAGTACAACAATCAAATAAATCTGTATGGAATATGAATTCTGCTATTTCATCTACTACTTTACTGGAAAGTGCACATTCTGTGCCCACAACGGTATCACTTCTAATTTGCAAGAAAATGCTGTCACTGTTAATCGAATTTCTTATGCTTTAGGTCTGTGATTAATTGTTTAACAAGTGTCTATCTGGGGATTTCTCATAATTGCTTGAATTGGAGTATAAAACTTCGAGGATGAAATTCTTTCTTCTATTTTTTCCCATAACAGCAATACTTCAATTTCAGTGAATACAAGTTTGTTCTGAGTTAGTTTTTAAATCCCTATTAGAGACCTACATCTGTAATTTTTAGTTACATTCCTCTATTTATTTACCTCACGCATCCCCTAACTAAATAATTAATATCCTAACTCCTAATAGTTTACATTCACTTCTTTTCTTTGCGAGGAGCTGGACTGTATCTGTTATATGTACAATAGTTAACTCAATTACCTTAAGATAGTGCTTTTATTGCAATATTATTCCTTGCAATACCTAGGATGTGTATCTGGGTAGAATAATGACTTATAATTGTCTTGTAATGGGTATTTTCATTATTATCATCAATGTCCATTGGATCAAGTTTATATTTGTTAATAACAAATGAATTTTATACCTTTCCCTATTGCAGAGAATTGAAAATTATGTGCCAAGTTCTACTGCTAGTTTTCTTTACGCCACTGATTTATCTGACGGCAAAAATGAGTGCCTTATTGAAGGGTGGGATATTGTTGAGCATCCCACTTTTCCTCCCCCACCGTCGCAAAGTGAGGATGTTGAGCACTGGACTCGAGCAATGTTCATAGATGCTAGAAGAAAGTGATCTTCATCTGCAACAGAGTTCTGGATTCTGTATGCTCCTTTCAATAAAATTTTGTTTGCATCGTTGTTCACAAGAATTCACCAATTGATATGGCCTTAGTAATCCCACCTTCTTACACAAGTGCATGTTTCGCCAACACTTTTTCAGAGATAATCACGTCATTTTTTTTTTTCTTTTCTTTCAATAGGCCCTCGAAGAAATATTTTGATTTAAATCTTATTTGGCCCCTAAAATAATCTGATTCAGAGGTGTGCTAAGCAGCACTGATATTTATTCCTTAGTTTAAAGAAAAACACATTTAATGAAAGTTTCATGGTTGAGTTCCAAGTGGTGATTTGGTTATAGAATATGGTTATTGAAGTAACTGGTTGCTGCTTCATGTCAAGCCTATCGTCAACTATATCCCTTTTATTCTTTTTTTTGGTTAATATTTCTTAATTTATTCACTCAATGTGCATGAAAGAGTTGATATATTATAAGGATGCAACTGAACTGATGTAAGTTCAAGTTTGAAAGGTTCAAGACTGATGGATTCAAATTAATAAATGATTGATGTTGGCCTGAATTTTAGTTGGACGTGCAACCGAGCCATTTCGTTAAACTTTTGAACTCAAGCCAGCTGCCAGCTTAGCTTAGTGTTTATGATTCTGAAGTCTTAAGACTCATAATTAGTGACAATTACCTTTAGCATGAACCATGCAGCATTGTTCCTTATTAAATTAGTTCTTATTATTTGTCTTACAACAAAAGCTTATATTTTCCTTTTTTATTCCTTGCTAACTGGAATTTTTTTGTACTTGTCAGGTTGAAGGGTATGCTTTATCTCTTGGCAGGTAGCATGGAGTGAAAGCCGACATAAGATTCTTGAGGATTATTTTGTAAACTAATTGGAATATTTTAGTTACCCTCTTGTTTGTAAATATGGATTATTATAGACTAATATTGAAAATTATGTAAATATATATAGGCAAGGTTCATTAAATTCTTAAATTCGCCAAAATCTCATCAATAATAATAACTGATTCACTTTATAGTCAGTGCTTCCTGATTTGAATGGAGTTGGACTCCTGACGCTAGTCTGTTATGTTGTTTTTGAAGACATAAACAATCAGTCTGTTATGTTGAAGTCTTTAAGGATCAAAGTGGTGTGATGGATATCAAAGTCTGAAAATTGTCATTCAAGTATTTTCAAAATGTTGATCCAAACTTCAGAGGTCACGCTAAGTTGTTCAGTGGATCTTCTCTACAATATTCATAATAAGTCTTTGCATGCTTTTAACTGTTCAACCAGTGACTCAGGCCATGTTTGACATTGCCTAAAAGGTTGTCTCGCCTACATAGGAAGGGAACAGAAGATGGTGTTGAACACTACCTCAAGTTCATAAGTTTGAGTTAATAATTTCATTCAAATATGGTTTACGTTACAACTGGAGTTGTGAGTGACTAGTTGACCTTTGTAATGGGTGACCTGGTTTTTATTTTTATTTTTTTCACAAAGTTAAGAGAGTACTAATTTTTAAATTGTCTATATTCTCAATCATAAGAAACTTCAGATTTTTTTATAATGAAAAAAAAAGTGATTTGTACGTGTTGTGGATCTTTTATCCTATTTAAGAAGAAAAAAAATAAGAAAGTTCTTCTATTTTTAAGATTTATTCCTTGAAATCTTATTTTCCTTTCAATTTAAAGAGAATAAAAACGAATTATCTTTTAATTTATCAATGACGACTTCAATTTAAAGAGAATAAAAACGAATTATCTTTCAATTTTACCAATGACGACTTCAATTTAAAAGAGAATAAAAACGAATTACCTTTCAATTTTATCAATGACGACTTTAATTTAGAGAAAATAAAAATGAATTACCCTATATTGTAAAAGACTAAAAAAAAAAGTAAATCACTGTCTCATTCTGTTTATCGGATAAGTCACTCATTTAAAGAAGTTTAACAAAATTATCTCCTGAAGCCAAATTTGACATATCTTAGTTTTGTAGAGAACAAAACATGCAAATTTTGAGAAACTAATGTTAGAGGGAATAAAATGTTAATTTACCAAAACAAAAAATGTATCAAGTTCTTATTTTTTTCCAAACCCTACATTGAAAAGGAGGAGAATAGTCCTGCTGCAAAGGGTAAAAATCTTAGCAGAAGTAAAATAAATCAATGATGCATTTTCCTTACAATAGTATTCCTTGTCAACATGCCAAATCTTGTGTAAGCAACGCATTCACATCAGAAATTAAAATGAGATTATTAGTTGGAACTCAAACCACTACTATTCTACTACACTTGTTGTATTTCTTTCTTAAAATATGTTTATGAAAACTTCTCCATATATATTTTTAAATATTTTTTCTAGATAATTTATTTAATAAAATATGTACAAATTAACATATACATAAATTAATTTCAATTTATAAAGTACTTAATTTTTTTTCTCTGTTTATAATAAAACTTATTCACATAGATCCTAATATTATTTTTGAATAAAAAATTTTAGAAGATAATTATTTTTATAAAAAATATTCATTTTATGATAAAATGTTATTTGGATAGAATTTTTTAAATTAAAATTTTAGAATTTACAACAATAATTTGACTAATTAAAATTAAAAAAAAATCAAAATTATTCATTCTCTTTCTTCAACTTGATATCGATTCCTGACATGGTAGACTAAGCTTGAGTTGCGACGTGACCTATTCTACTAAAATCAGATGCCTTATATTATTTCTTTAATTGAAGTTTACGAAGTTTCTTTTATTTTGAAACCAATCTTCATTTCTCAATCAACGGTAATTATAAATTCTTCAACCTCTTAAAGAGTCAATCTTTTAGAATATGTTAACTAGTAAAAATCAATGTCATTTAAGTTTTTTTTATCGGTTGAAAAATTAGTAAAAATAACTTCAATCAACAACGTAAAAAAATTAATATTAATAGATTTCAACTAAAATAATTATTATTAACATAACTTAAAAATAATGGTAGGTAATGTTAATAGTAATAAAACATTCTTGTCCACCTTAGATATTTTTTTTATGAATTTTGAGCGAAAAACAATTTAAATGAACATGGACAAAAGAGAATTATCAAATGATATTTAGAAAAAAAAACTTTATAAAAAAATTTAGAAATTACATACACAGATCTTCTATGGCCTTGCAGGTTTCTTATCATAGCAGATAATATAATAAATTCAATTTTTATGAGAATAAATTTTAAATTTATAATCAAGTCTTTATATTAAAAAAAGAGAATAAATATTATCAAATTCAAATTACATCAAAAATATTTATCAGTGTTAAGCCGTTGTAAAAAACACAACATGCACCACAAGAAACACCATGTTTTAGAAAAAAAATTATAAGCTTTTTCATGTCAAAAATAACAGTGGTATTATATTCACACACGCACACGTTTATGCACACATGATAAAGAACATAAACACATATCACACACGTGTTTATAAGTATGATTTTATAGGATAAATACTCTTTCAAGTACATAAAAATATATAATACTTGTTGTTTAATAGTTAGAAAGGATAAATAAGTGGTTTTGTAATCAAAATAGTGAAAATTGTTCCTTCTTAACTCTCTATCGGTATAACCAGCTTATAAAAACCCTTGAGAAATGACTTTTCATTAAAATTAAAAACGAATTTCTGTGTTGAACTTTATTGATTTATCATATAAAGACTAAAATATAAGATAAAAAAAATGATATAATACAAAAATTTCAATATATTTACAGAGACGAAAAAACTTATTGAAGGCATAAAAAAGAATGCTGTAATTAATGACTGGGCAATAGCATGGACCTTGACAGATTATGAGAATTGGAAATCTCTCAATCTTTGGTCTTAGATCTCCTCATGCGAGCCACTTTCCTGCTACCAGCAGTGTTGAATCCGCCGGAACCTCTCCATGGGATCCACTAAAAACACAAAACGCTCATTATTGTTTTGCAATCAATATCCGTTCTCAGTTTAATGGATCACTGCGATGAAAATGACCAATTTCTAATGCCATTTTAATGAATGCAGCTAAAATGTGCTTGAGCTGCTTCGACGTAGTTGGTATCTTGGAGTAAGTGTTGTGGATGAAAATAACTTAGCATCTAATTCCTGAAATATTATATATATGAAAATCGTTAAGCTAGCTATAGAATTTTATAAATATAATTTTAGAATTTAGCTTCCTCTCAACCTAACATGTCACATAGTTTGTTCTAGGAACCCTAGAGCTACTCAAAATCTCTTTGATGTGAATTAATTTGATTAGTATTAGTGGATTTTGTAAACTCTATTTCTAACATCGCTTAAGAGTCAATTCTAGATATTACTAAAAAATTCACTTCATTCTTTTGAATTGAATGGATACGACGAAACATCATTAAACTACGATAACGTTAGAGTATAGAATGAAATCTCGTATATATTAAAAATTCGATAACATTAAAATATTTACCAAAAATCTAAAAAAAATTCCTTGAAGTAAACGATAATATAACATTATAGTACATAGTGACTACATATCTAACATTGACATTGGGATTAGTAGGATCGAATTCGGTACTTCTAATAATTATCGTTTTCATTTATTCTCTTTATTAAATTTTATTTTCATTCTGATTTTAACTCAACTTGCTAATCACTAACCTTTAATTGGAGCACAGAGTGAGCTTGAGTTAGGCAAATGCTATTGTCTGGTTGGTTAAGCAATTTTTGCTCATTGTCCTTTCCTTTCCTTTACTCCTAAAATTAACAAAGCTTCAAGACAAAAATCTTAGGAAATTGTCAAAACTGACCCATTCTTATAAAACAATTCAATGTATAATAAATAATAAAAAAAATTATGTTTCTCAAGAAACAACCATCATGATATGTTTAATTTTCTTCTTATTAATTATCTTTCTCTTCCAATTTAGTCTGAAAAAGTCATTTCTTTTATGATTAGCAAATTATTATTTTCAAAATATACACCTTCTTTCGGCTAAATTGTTTTAGTAAAAGATAATTCAATCATTTCTAATATAGAGATTTTTTTAATGATAATTAGTACTAATAATCTATTATCGGAAACAATGACTAAATGCATGTTTTGGAATCCGATAGATTTTGTATTTTATGATAGATTCTGTATTTTATACGTTCCACATTCCAAAACACCAACATGAAAGTAAATTTTTTTAGCCTTTATGTTGAACAAAAGTTATCGTTAGTGAAAAACGCACAATAAAAGAATTTAAGAAAATTTAAAAATTAGCATATGTTGAAAGTCCATCTTGGATTTTTTCGGATAAATTTAAAGGAATAATTAAATATGTGAATATGTTTAAAATACTAATCAATAAATAAATAAAAAAACAATTTTCATTCTACTAAAAAAAAAAACATTTTTCATTTGAAGTTAGAACTTCTTGTGCCGCCATCGCAATTAATCAGCCAAACTAAAATATTTTTTAACTTCCTACCAATTAACTTCCAAATCGTACAATTGAATAATATTCATTACTTTTCATGAATTATTAGTAAATAAAATTACACCATCAATTAATTACAATTTATCCTAAATATAATTTTACATCACACAAATAAATCATTTTCCATTCGCAACCATATAACCGAGTATAAAAAACTTTATGCTGTCAAAATATGTTAATAATAATAATTCTCTTTAAAATTATATCAATGAAAACATGAATTAATTTAGAATATAAATCTTTCCAATGAGAAGTAATATGTAATGATTTAATTAATCTAGTAATGCACTAGGAATTTTAAAATTGGTGTGATGCATTTAATATTCTTCGTCTCATAAGAACTTAATTCACCATTTTATTTATTTAATTTTTTATTTCTACTCAATAAAAAAGTTGAATAATTTAAGAAAGTAATTTCTAGCCTATTCAGAAAGGACATAAAAAAATATATTTACACATAAAAAGTGCTAAAAAAAATATAATAAAATTGAAGAACATTTTTTTTATAAAAATTAATATTTATGTAAAGACTTGCTTATATACGAAAGACAAACCGACTGAGGGAGAATTTATTTTATTCATTTCAAGGGTAAGATAGTACCCCAAATGAATAGCAACTAAGTAAGGGCATCTCCAATTTTAAAAAAATAAATAATATATATATATATATATATATATATATAACGATATTTATGATATCACATATTTTTAAGTATTATAATATTTATTTTACTTTATTGAAATATTTTTTAATAAATTTGAAAAATTCATTTATTTTTGATTTGCTAATTTTTGTAAATTGTTTAATGAAGTAACTAAAAAAAAATATTAAGCAAATAAAACTCCTCCAATAAAAAATTGCTTCAAGCACATACTTTATTTAAGTATACAATTCTCATTGGAGATGGTAATCAAGGTATGGATGTTAATAAAGTCAATGAACATAATTAGGGATGATAAGATTAAGTTTGAGGGACCAATCTGCCTAAAATAAAGTCTGTTCGACCTAGTCCACCAACAACTCGACGGAATAAGGGTACAGTAGGACGGGTTCACTTACTAGTCAACTTAAAAAAAATATTTATATATTAAATTAAAATAAAAATATATATATAATTAAAAGTATATTTTTATATGTTATGTTATTAAAAAATATAAATATATTATAATATTAAATTTAAATTATAAAAATTAATTCATTAAATTTAAATTATTGATTATAATTAGTTATTTTAATATATAAATATAATAATTTTTTAATTTATCTAATAAAAATACTAATTAATAAATAAATATTTAAAAATTATTTATATAATTAAATATATATTTTAAAAAAATATATATATATACAAAAATCTATCAATAGTTGAACCATCAGCTTACCCTTTAATAAGATGAGTTGAAGTCGATAACCCTAAATATGACAAGTCAACTGTCCTATCTTGTTTTTGGCAAACTAAAGACGAGGGCAAAACACGACAAACTAGCCCTTTGACGAGATGAGTTGGAGTCTATAACCCTTTTTTATTATAGCTTTTGGCATACTAAAGACAAGAGGGCCAAAACAGGATGAACGGACCCTTTTATAGGGTGAGTTGGAGTCGGTAACCCTTTGATAGGATGAGTTGGAGTCGGTAACCTTTGATAGGATGAGTTGGAGTCGGTGACCCTTTGTCCCTTAGAGCCAAAACAGAGTATACTTACGCTTGTCGTCATCCTTAAACCTGATGTAATTTGTTTGTTTTCTCTGGAACAAATTCCTCAATATTTTTTTAGAAAAAAATAGTTTATAGTTTATAAACTCTCTCCTATAATTTCTTTATTTTTTTAAAAAAGTATATATAAGTTATGTTTTATTTAGTGATTCTTTTTTTTTTTTTTTCCTAAAAATGCTTATAAGAAAAGTGTTCAAAGATATACTGCATATTTAGTTAGAATAAAAAACGTCATTTAGAGCCATACTGTTTATCTTTGTTGCAAGACTATATGTGTGTGTGAAGAACTTACAAACAGTAATGCGAATGAACGAATGAATGATAAAGATGAATTGATGAATTAGCACAACACATAGAAACCACAACTTATATTTAATTGGAAATATATATGGATGGCTGAATGTACCTTCAGCATTTTGCGCCAGCTAGTCAGTTTCTGAAGGCGACACTTCTCGTTCTCTAACCTAGTAATGTGTTCCTTTAAGGAAATAGGATAAACAACATATATAAAACTTTCTGTGATGAATATAGCGAACGTAGGTGATGATGAGACATGGAACTAACCTGCTTCTTTGCCCTTGATCTTGCAGCAGATTCCCTGTTCTTAGCCATTCTTTTCTGTCTTCTCTCGATCTCATCGGAGATCTTTCTCTTCTTGTAAAGGTCTAGAGCACTCTTGGCATCTGAAAAAGAAGGAGACATTGGAATTCCCACTGAATTATCTGAATATCCAAGATGACTATCGTAGAATGACTGAGAAGTACTGTGGCAGTTTTCAATTATACGTGGCTCGTGATGAGGTTGGTGGACGTTAGAAGGAATTGGCATCCATTGTTGTTGAAGGTGTGGAGGCAACATTACTGAATCCATTCCCATCAGGGGCGGAGTGTCAACGTTAATATTCTGATAAGCAACATTAATCACACCTCCATGAGCTAGAAAATTTTCTAAAGATTTTTCCTCCAAAGAAGGTTGTTTCAAGAGGGTGTCTACGGACCTGTTCATATGTTGTTGGTCAACACTTTCTCTCCAAGTCTCACTAATGCTATTGGCTTTGGTGGCATGCATACCAACGTTCATGTTCCCAAGAAGAAATGAATGATGATTAGACGAAGGGTCTTGCCCAAGATGTCCACTTTCTCCTGAGATAACACTTTTGTGAAGCTCATCCAAATTAATATCATGGATAGGCTTCCCTGTGTTTCCCAACTGGCTCTGAACCTCATCAAAGTTCAGGTTATATAAAGAGTTTTCTCTAACCATAGGTGGGTACTGTGAACCCTGTGCTCTATTAGGAGGAAGACCCATGCTCCTTCTAGACATTCACATATATTCTGCCAGAAAAAAATATAAAACAAAAACTTCGAAATCATAAAAAAGGTGGAGAAAGTAACCACAAGAACAAGTCGAGAAAACAATGTTTTTACTACAAAATAAAAATATAAGTTGGGTTCTGCTAAAGAAAAACAATGACGGGGATATTTGAATTTATAGTGTTCTAGTTAGCTGGTGAAGCGAAATGTGAGCCGCCACAAAGATAGAAGTGTGAAACGAAAAGCTGATGTGTTCATCATACCTCAACTACTACTCCGATTTGTTTGCTAAATTGGTGGATTTTAAGGTTAAATATAAACTTAAGATCCAACTAACCACAAAATCACAATCCAATAATAACTTCCTTTCACTGTCACTCAGCAAAGATGTTGTAATGTATATTTTTAACGATATTATATTTTTATTTAATAAAAATTGTAATTATCAATTTGTATTTTATTAAATAATTAAATTATAAAAAAAGATTTTGTTTAATATAAAAATATAATTATTATTTTTATTTATTTAATAAGAAGTTATTATTTTTATTTAATAAAAAATTGTAATCTTCTCTCACCCTAATTTTTAATTAAACGTTTTATGATTATTATTTTAAAAGATTAAAAAAGTGTGATTATTATTTTTATTTATATAACAGGAAGATATTATTTTTATTTAATTAAAAATTATAACCATCTCTCACCCCAATTTTAATTAAATATTAATAATTAAAATAATTAATAGCCAAAATAACTCAATTGGTTAGAACGTGTGTCTGTTAACCAGAAGGTCGGATGTTTAAGCCCTTTTTCTAGTGATATTATATTTTTATTTAATAAAAAAGTATGATCATTATTTAATATGAAGATATTATTTTATTTAATAAAAAATTATGATAATTAGTATTTTAAAAGATTAAAAAAATTAAAAAAACGTCTAAATATTAATAATCAAAATAATTAATAGTTGAAATAGCTCAGTCGATTAGATCGTTGGTTAGATCATCCGCTTGTTAACTACTTAAAGCATTTGAAATTGATAACTAAAATAGTGGTTAAATAGGTTCAAGCCCTCTTTCTAGCTATATTATATTCTTATTTAATAAAAAAAATAACTAAAATAGTTAATAGCTAAGCGTTTGAAGTTGATTGTCATTGAGAGTGTTAGCAATATATAAATATATAAGGTCAAACCCATCTCTCTCTGTAGCATGATAAATTGATATTTTTCGTATTGATTCTCATTCATAGTGGTAGAATAGACAAATATATAAGCCCAAACCCATCTCATTTTGTATCATGATATTGATTATATATATATATATATATATATATATATATATATATATATATATATATATATATATATATTTATTTATTTATTTATTTATTAAATTGATATTTTTTTCATATAAAATAAACACTTACATTTCTACTAGTTGAGTATGCAAACCACCCACCAACAAGTCTGTGTCAACTTTGAAGTCTATTCAGATTGATTGTCATTGAGTGTTAGAATTAGACATCATGATATTTACATGTATTTGTTATTGCTTTAATCACAATGCTCTTTCTACTTTTTATATTTTTCTAAAATTTATATTAAAGTACCCATATCCTAGATTTCTTTAAAAATCATATCCTGAGGTTCAAGCTCTATTATGATGTTTATATTTATTTATTTAAATTGATATTTTTCATATGATAAAAACTCCTACAATTCTACTGATCGAGTCTATGTCAACTCTCAAGTCTATTGAGATTGATTGTATTGAGTGTTAGAATTAGATATCATGATATTTATATGTATTTGTTCCTTCTTTAATCACAACTCTCTTTCTACTTTTTATATTTTTTCTAAAATTTATATTAAAGTACCCATAACCTAAATTTTTGTAGAATCATATCTCATACATGTATCGAGGGCGATTCAAGCCGTATTATGATATTTATATTTGGTTGTTAAATTGATATTTTCCATATAAAATAAACGGCTTTAATTCTACTAATAGACGCTTACAATTCTACGAGTCGAGTATACATATCACCGCGTCTATATAGACTCGAGTCTATTGAGAATGATTGTGATTGAGAATTAGAAATAGATAAATATATAGCCCGAGAACCCATCTTTTTTTATCATGTTATTTATATATATTTGTTTAGTCTCTAATCACAACACTCTTTCTAATTTTTATATTTTTCTAAAATTTATATTAAAGTACCCATATCCTAGATTTTTAAAAAATCATATCCATACATGTATCCATGGAACATACTTGAGGATGATGGAGGCCTTGAAGTTATTCAAGGAGAGAATCAATAATCACAAGGAGAAATTACTTTCCCTGGCCTCTAATTCGGCAGACATTCAGGCAAAATATGGTTTGTAATGAAGAAATTCCACAATCGGAGGATAATGAATGAAGAAACAAAACATAAGCTTCAAGGAATGAGACAAATAACTACCTTCATTCACAAGACATAAATATGTCAATAGTAAATAAGGAGAAAGCAGAACCATAACAGAAAGACAATTATGAGTTTTTCTGAGATGAATAAAAATCGTGGGCTAAAAAGATTGAATTGCCCAACATTCACAGCAGCAATTGGATGGGTTGGATTGTCCAAGTTGAGAAGTTTTTTAAAGTGCAAACAGATAAAGTCAAATGAGAAGGTCATCAGTTAGATAACTGTTTATTGTTAATCTGTTATATTGGTTATTAATTAATAGGCACAGGGATAATTAGAGAAATTATAAGACATATTTCATATAAATAAGAGGAAAGGTGGAAAGAGAGGAGTATCTTGTCAATTGAAAAGAGTTTGGTTTTTTGGACATTGGGAGGTGCAAATCCTAAAAAATTCTGCTGTGTTGATCTTTTCAGTAAATTGAGAATTTTTCGACGATTTTTTTTAGTAAAGGCAGTTTTCTTTCCGTAATTCTGATTCAGTTCCTAACATCAACTCACATTCATGATCCGGGTGGGGGAGGGGTTCAGTAGGGAACTTGTTCGAGTTCTTGAGAAAGAAATCATCACAGATTTGATGTAGAAAAATTTGATAGTGGCTATGGTTCAAAGGTTCTCGAAAAGATGTTTGTGAAGTTTGTATTGTTCGAAAGGATTAGCTACCTTGTGGCAAATGGATTTACTGATGAGTGCATTCTTGCAGCAATTTGGAATCTTGGTGAGAAAGGAAAAAAAAAACAAAAATTGGGAAGGATGGGGAGTGTGGATACAATCTTATCTCAGTTCCCCAATTTCAAACTTATAGACAATCTGGCATGGTTGAACTTTGAGCAGTTGATATTGATGGGGCCCAGAGAAAAGCTAGTTCTAGTTATATAACTGATCTGGCTAATAAAGTTGATAAGATCATGAACTTGGCTTCAGTAAAAGAGGAAGCATTCATATTCATTAATTCTGGAAAATCAAGCAGCAACTCAGTTGTATAAGGGGAACCTTGGAAGGATGGTTCACTTCTTTGGTCTCTATTTGTGATTCAGTAAACCATTACGGAAGTTCCTTCTCTTAATCACCTTTAACATGTTGCCAAAGAGATTGGTACTAACTTAGCTAAGGCTATATATTTATTCATTTAATTTGATGGTTTTGAAAAACAATCTGTAACCACAATGTAGTAGCATCAATGTCAAGGTTTTTAGGACTGCAATTGCGGATAGAACAACAACATTTTCCCATAGTACCGAGGATAAAAAATACCCTATTGTCAATAGTAACTCAACCACAAGCATCAGTCAGCACTTAATAGCTCTACCCTATAGTCAATAATCACTGTCAACCACCATCTCAGTATGACACCATGATAACAATGATAAATGCCCTAGCAAATTCAAGAAAGAACCACGCAACCATCAAACTTTAAAACAAAAGATCCTACGCAAAACATTTCGAAAAGAAATGCAAACCATTTCCATTCTTAAGACTCCTAAGGTCAATTTCCAAAATATTCAAATTCAATCAAACCCGAAACAAAATCAAATTCAAATTCGAACCTGCTGACGGTACCGACATCAATCAGGGACCAGTGATGGGCTTGTGCTTATCTGAGGGTTGAGCTGGTTGCAACACCCAAACCGCAACATCTTCCCTGATATTCTAACACTATTCAGAATGACATCCTCTTCCGGGACTAAAGGCCCTTCACTCCGCCATATAACACCAGCAGTCCTCGCCGCTTACCGCTTCTGTTATTGCCGCTGGATTGGCAGTAGAGCTATTGGACTTGGAGTTGATCAAAGTACTGCCTCATGAGCTGTAGAGGGAATTGCACGACAGTATGTCCCACTTTCTTCCATGAATGCCCCGTGTCTCTTTCTTCAATTCCGTGTAGGAGATCAATTTTACATCTAAATATTTTAGTATCTTAACTGGTGGAGTGTATATTCTATTTTGTATTTTAATAAATTAAAACTTAATACATATATTAATTTATAAATATAAATATTATTATAAATCCATTTTAAAGAAATCCTATTAAAAATACATGTATAAAAAGTGTTTTTTTTTTAATAATATTAAAAATTATAAATAAAATTATTTTCAAAAATAATTATATAATATTTTATGATAAAAAATAGTGTCTAAACCCAAATATTTTATAGAATAATTCTTCCATCTATCTATAATTTATAAAATTCTTGTTTTTAAAACTGAACTAGTCATCAAATAAATAAAAATATGGATTCAAAATTTAAAGATTAAAGTAATATTCAACTTGAATTAATTTAGATTTAATAAATAATATTTTTTATTATATATATAGTAATAATTTAAAAATAATAATAATAATAAAGATTGTTATCACAGTTTTTTTAATTACAAATATAAAGTAACATATATAAAATAAGAAAAAATAATAATAATTAAAATAAAATAAATATATAATAGAAATAACTAAAATTGATAAGACTGTGATATAAAAAAAACTAAAATTATTATATTTTTTATAAAAAAGTCATATTTAAAAAAAATAAACTTTGATATTTACACTTTTTTAACCAAAAATTTTCAACCTAAAAATCTAGTTAATTTTTTATTATTATTTTTTTTATATTAAATTTTATTGATTTAATTAAAATTTAATTATTTAAAAATAACACATTGATTAATTCGACCTAATTTTTAAAATACTATATAAAATATATACTCACAAAAAACACGAATCATAAGTTTTCTAAAATGTCATTACAGGAAAAAAATATATTTTATAAATTTTATCAGTTAAAATAAAATTGTTATTAATATAACTTTAAAAATAATTTAAGGGTTAATTTTTAATTTATAATCATCATATATCTAAATATAAAATAATAAAAATATAATAATATTTTTTATGATTATTTTTAATATAATATTAAATTATATTTTAACATAAATCTTATAATTTTATGAAATAGAGTAATGATGTTAGTATATGAAAATTGTTAAAATAATAATTATAGATAAAATTATTTTAAAAAAATACAAGAAGTTAAATAATAATAAAAAAAACGAAATGTGTATAGCAAACTCTTAGACCAATTTCTTTTATTAATACTAATGATATGTTTTATTATTAATTTTTTTTCCATCTGTATGCATGTACACCTTCTTTCTCTATTTTTCATACATTCTTTCAATACTTTTTTTTCTCTTTCCTTTTATATATTTGTTCAAAAATAATATTATATTAATAAAAGTGATGATGAAAAAATAATTATAAAAAGAAAAATCTTTATATATATACATATATATATAAAATAAATATAAACTAATAAAAATATAAATGCTAAAATATATGCCTAATCTATAATTTTTTATATTATTAAATTTTAGATATTTATTTTTTAAAAATATATATTATATTTTCTCTATTTATTTTAATACGTGTTGCACCTTATTTTTCCTCTTTTTATTAATATAATATAAAAAAATTATAATTGATGACGTCAAAATAATATAGATTATAAACTTTGGTAATATATATATATATATATATATATATATATATATATATATATATATATAATTGAACACGATAATTTTTATTTTCATCTACCAGTTATAAAAATTCAGAATTTTTTCATAAATTTGTTTAACTATATGTTTCCTTCTCTATACTTTTAAGATTGAACATGTTACTATTTTTTTTTCATCTACCAGTTATAAGATTCAGAATTTTGTATAAATAATTTCTTGAATTTTTATGCATATGTTTTCTAAAAATAATATATTTTTATGTTTGATTTTAATATATAGAACATTCTTATGTGTTTGTTAAAATAAATTAATTAAATTATTTTTAAATAATTAATTTAATTTCTTTATTCATCATACACATTTTTTTTATTTCCATGAATAGATTAGATAAAATACCTCGATAAAAAAGTACAGAATTAAATAATTTAATATAATTAAATATTATTCCATAAAATAATAAAATATTATGAATTTTACATTTTAAACTTTAAAATTAAAATTATTTTTAGCTTTGAGTGGAATCTACCACTATTATTTTTGAACAAGTTCGAGATGGGTGATTCTAATTGAATTAAGTAAGATGCAATGGAATTACGAAATACGAAGTTATTAAAAATTATCGGTTGTTGTCGAATATTCAATCCTTATTTTTATAATTATATTAGTTGATATCAAATTTGTTTATACAAATATTAATATGTTATGATAGTAATAAATTAATTAATTATCAAAGTTATTATTATAACATATGACACAACTAATGAACTAGGTAGATGAGATTCGTTTGTAATGGAAAAATTATTATAAAGTGAGGTATGAAAAAAGAATCAGCAATAACATTAATTAGCAAATCACCAGGTATCATGCACTACCACTAAACAAAGTAGTTATGTCTTAATTTACTTTTTCCTTTTTCTTTTCATATATTTAAAGCAAAGCAAATTTGACGTAATCCAATCTTCCATGTATTAGCTGGTACTCATAATACAATATTAATTTTATTTTCAAAATTTATTCCTATTAAGTTTATAGTAACAAAACTTACATGTGACACACTTTAATATAATTAAAATACCATTTTTTTTAATATCAAAATAAAAAAACCCTTAAATATTTATACTAAATTCTCCGTATCTATCTAAGAAGAAAAATAAGTAAAAAAAAAATTCTGCACAAATTAAAATTAGTGTATAATTAAATTAAACATGAAAAAAAGTTAATAAAAAATTTAAAAAAACCTTTATATATAAATGATTTTTTTTCTTATTTATCTCTCTCTCTCTCTCTCTCTCTCTCTCTCTCTCATATATATATATATATATATATATATATATATATATATATATATATATATATATATATATATATATATATATATATATATATATATATAGAAATGCATGCAAATAAACCTTATACAAATGATGAAAGGTATAAGAGAATATTAATGAGTTTGGAGGGTAGGAATTAATAGTAACACAAACCATATTAATAGATAGATTAAAAGAAACTGATGATAAAAAAGAAAATTTAAATAAAATGTCATTTGATTTAAGAATAGGATAGAATAATGGGTTAATCTATTTTGTTTTGTACCATTTTATTTTAGTTCATTAAAAGTAAAGTGGATGGATGGATTTGTTATAATTAAAATAAATTAAATATTTTTGTCATAATTAAAATAAATTATATATTTTAGCTTATTTATTAAAAGTTAAGTTGTCCGTTAATAATTTTTTTATATATTTTTTAAATATATTTTTAATTATATAAATAATTTTTAATTTTTTATTTATTAATTAATATTTTTAATAAATAAATTAAAAACTTATTATATTTATGTATTAAAATAAATAATTATAAATCATAATTTAAATTTAATTGATTATTTTAAATTATAATATATTTACATATTTTAATAATATAAAAAATATAATATTTTTAATTATAATTTTTTTATTTTAATTTTAATATATAAATATTTTTCAATCAGTAAAAAATAGATTAAAACTATCCATTCATATTTTTAGGTGAACACTCAATTTAACCTGTTTTCTCATCAGTGAGAGGAGGTTTAAGTTAAAAACAATTGAAGCTAAGGGGGAATTATTGGTTAAGTTGAGTTCACTGTAACACTTTTTTGGTGATGAAAAAGAGGTAGAAAAAGAATGAAATAAAGAAGCAACATGTTTGCTTTAACTAAATCTCTTATCTTCTTTACAAAAAGCATTTTCGGATGTCGTTTGTGAAGCACAATATACCTTTTTCATGTGAAGTGGAAAGGGACAACTTCACACGAATCTACGGGTTGATAATTTGAGACGATGGCTATGATCAACAACACAATTATCTCTACTTTGATTTTATTATCAAATTGTTGAGGTGTAAGGTGCATTGTTCTCACTTTTGTTTAACATTTTTATTACCTACTTTCCTATCATAACCTAACATGATAAGGTCCTCAACAATATTTCATCATATATACCATTATTCATTCTTTGGATTCTCAATACTTGCACATATATAACCACTCAGTTTTTGTTATTGGTACTTCACTTATGAGTACCACTCCCAGTGGAGTTGGATTTAATTTAGTTATTATTTTTGAATAAAATGGTATATTCTTAATAAGTTTACCGTGTTTATATAAATTATAATTATAAAAAAAATTAGCATTTATTAAAAAACCTATATTAATCAAAGAGACATAGTTAAATTAAAATCAATTATGTAAAATTAAATTAAATACTTACAATTTTTTAATATGATAGTGAGTTCATTGAAGGGTCCCAAACTATACACCATATAAGATGGAAAAGAGAACAAATCATATATAGGTTTGTGAGTTTCCGTCCTCCCATGTACAAAGAAAATATTTTGAAGTGACAGTGTGAAGACCGATTCGTCCTTGACTTAAAACGAGTTAATGTTATGAAGTGAGGTACTACTTTATCGTCTTATTGGTACAGAGAAAAGAAACATGATGAAAGAGAAAATTCAAATATTTGAACGGATAACAAATTAAAAGATTTTTTTTCTTAGATGTATATTATTAGCCGTATCTTTTCTTTCTTTTTATTGTTTTCTTTTTTATCTAAACATATATTAATTCGACTGTGAGAAGGACCTTAATGCTGTCTGCTTCAGAAAATAATTTTTTTATGGTATAAAACTTGAAAGTAGAAATAATATCTTCACAACTCGTGTTAGTCAAAGTCTCATACCACCATCAACTGAATAAGTAAAGCAGAGAACTTGGTAGTTTCTTCTCTGTTTTTATTCTTTCGATTTTTAATGCACTGCTATGTTTTCCTAGACCCTAGTCTTTCTCTTACAGTGGAAACATAACTTTACACTAGCACGTTGACACATCAAAGTAGATTTTCTCACCCCTGTAGTAAAAGAAAAAGTTGTGTGTTACTTTGAGAAATGATGTTTTGTTTATTTAGAATTAATCTTCATCTGATTTTACTTCAGTTAATCTTTGCTTTTCATAGTTTGTTGGTGCACAGGAGAGTAATGCCAGTGTCTGTATAAAATTTCTTGGAGATTCATTTCATTTGGGTCTCTCATGAACTAATATTAATTATTGGTGCTTGCAGATTCTACCAAGGTAGCTAGCTACCTGTATTTTGGGTTTCTGTTCTAAGTTGTGTTTGGATTGCCCAGGTTCGATTCCCATTTCAACAATTCAAATTACCTAACTATGAAACTTGTGTTTATTATGACTTTCTTCTTCTTCTTTTTTTCAAGTAAAAAAAATTCTGGAGAAACTAGTCATAAATCAGATTTTTGCTGTTGATTCAAGTTATTTTTGAAGTTTAATTTTTCCTTTAAATGGCATCAAACATTTTTTTTTCGCTAGTATATTTTAGAAAATAGTTATTTCCTTTGGACAATCCTAGAGATAGCAGAACATTAACCATGGCAAACTTCTCCATCTTGCTGTTCCTGATGTTGAGGTTTCATTCAATTTCATGCAACAAGCCCAGCTTCTAGTTTTCCAATCAATCACTTGGCTGTTATATAGGGGACCAAGTCTAAATTCTACCATTTTATCTTGTCTACATTGCATTAAATCTCAATTTTGGATACGAATTATCTTTTTGCATGATGTATGTAGTATATGAACTCTTCATCAACTCAGCTAGTTCTCGCGAAAAGGATGGGTATATACGATCCATTCCATCAAGTGAACATGTGGGGTGACAGCTTTAAAATTGATGGAAGCTTGAATTCAATTGCTTCCCCAATGTTCATGATGAAGCCCGGCATGCAGAACAAGGTAAGGGCGTAGGAATTTCTCGTGTTAGTAAGCTAGCATTGTTTTATGGGAATACTTGTTTACAACAGTCTCCTGAATTCCATTTGTTCAGTCTGAATGTACTCCTCATGAATCAAGGGAACCTTCTGGAGATGATCAAGAGAATGACAAAGCTGATAGTAAGGTAATGAAGTTTAATCACTGTATTGTAGATCTGATATTGAACATGAATGTCTTTTTACTGTAATCAATGAATATTTATGTGTAGGTGCTAAGACGTCAAGCTCAAAATCGTGAGGCTGCTCGAAAGTGTCGGCAGCGGAAGAAGGTGGTTAAAGCTGAATTTATGGGAAGTTAGCCAGTGTTCATAATCTGATTCTTACTTGTCTAATTCATAGGCTTATGTTCAACAATTAGAAACAAGCCGTGTGAAGCTCGTGCAATTGGAGTTGGAGATTGAGAAAGCAAAAAATCAGGTGATCCAAACTATAAAATCATCATTCTTATTTATGTCTTTTATTTAATGTATTGGGTTCAAGCACCAACTAAAATGTCTACTTGCAGGGTATGTACATACGCAGTGCACCAGATGTTAGTTATATGGGATCATCCGGAACAATGAACCCAGGTTTGTGATTTTTAAGTTTTAGATTTCCTTAAAATGTTATTTTCCTAGTTATTTGTGTACTACTTTCCTAGTTATGGTTTTGTTTGAGTCTGCATTAGATTAAACCTATGACTCTGTTGTTTCCTTTAATGATATTTTTGTCAGGTATTTATGTGATAATTTATAGATAATTACCCTTCTCTTCTAGATAATTACCCTTAATAATTCTTTGTTGTTTTTTTATTAAGTCTCATGACCTCGACCTCACACAATTCATTCACACTTGGTTATATCTTCTGTGATATAATCTGTTTGTTTTTGTCAGTTATAATTTTTATTTTGGTCAGATAGAAAATAGTAATTCATATTGTGTTGCATTCTATCAAAATTCTCCTCAGTCATCCAAATATATGAGAAAATAGTAATTCATATTGAACTGTAAGTAGCTTTCATGATATGAATATTCTTATGTTATCAAAGTTTGTTTTATAGAATTCTCAAATGTCATTTATTTTGTGATTTTGCATAACTACTTATTGTAAATGTGTGAAGCATTAAGTTTATAGCATTGTTTGTAAAGCAGGGATAACCTTGTTTGAACTTGAATATGGACAATGGATTGAAGAGCAAGATAGACAGAATGTAGAACTGAGAAATGCATTACAAACTCATGAATCTGATATGCAGCTTCATCTACTTGTTGAGAGTTGCTTGAGCCACTACTCAAATCTTTTCAGGATGAAAGCAGAGGCAGCAAAGGCTGATGTCTTTTATTTGATATCTGGTGCATGGAAAACATCAGTGGAACGCCTTTTCCTTTGGATTGGAGGATCTCGTCCATCACAGCTTCTACATGTACATCCAAATATCATTAATTATCTCATTCTAACAACTTTTGTTTTATTTTATTTTCTGTTTATTGATTGTACAGAATAGGAGCTCCATGTATCTTTCTTATTTATTCTAACAACTTCTAAATACTATATTGCTTTGAAACCAAACAAGAATGTCAGATTCTGTTATTCTATGCAGAACTAGAGTTATTCATTTTTTTTACATGATGCATCCAGTTGCTAGAACAAATATCTTTTCTATATTGTGTTCTGGACACAAACATATTTTTTTATGGATGTTACTATTTCTCAATTTTCATAATACACTTTTAACCTTGTTAAAGTTACTTGACCTTTTCTTCCAGATTATTGTACCGCAGCTTGAACCTTTGACTGATCAACAAATTGTGAGAATTAACAACCTCCGGCGTTCATCTCAGCAAGCTGAAGATGCTCTTTCACTAGGATTGGACAAACTCCAGCAGAGTCTAGTCCACAACATACCATCAGATCCCTTGGTTTTAGGACACTACGGGTTTGAGATGGCTGCTGCCATGGACAAAGGTGAAGCACTGGAAGGTTTTGTAAACCAGGTAATGTAACATCAAAAGAAAAATACAATTATCATCCACTCTATTATCTTTCATTTCAGCTTCTCATTCTTTATTTTCCTATCTCATATTTAAAGGTCCAATTAATATGAACAACCGAACTTCTAACTCCCTCATAAACATTAAATACTTTCCATTATTTTCGAAGTCACGATGGAATGTAAATATTAAAATCTGTGTATACAGGGAGCCTTTATTTATTGTTTTGTAAGTAGGTAGGTAGAACTGTGCTGCTTCTGCATTGCTTTTTATTGTTAAAGCATGCAACAACGTTATTGTTGAGTTGAAACCTTCTTGAATTTGTCCTCTTCTTCCACAGGCAGATCACCTTAGGCAACAAACACTGCTTCACATGTCAAGGATCCTGACAAGTAGGCAAGCTGCTCAAGGCTTGCTGGCTATGGGGGAATACTTCCATCGTCTTCGCACTCTTAGTTCTTTATGGACTGCTCAGTCATGTGATCCTTCCTTTTCCACTCACCTCTCAAACTGAGATCTTTTTCTTTGAACATCAACTGTTATATGAACAGGTGCTAAAATCATTGTCTTGTTTAATATTTTATGCATATGCTAGTGCTATAGTTACCAATGCTGCATGAAGGGTGAAGCAAAGTTTATGTATATGATTGGTTGATCTACAGAAAAAGTGAACCACCTTGTACATAAAATTATGTGATTTTGAATATATTTTATTCAAAATTAATGTGGAGTTTGTGATGAGATGCCACATGTTGGGTGGACCTACTTTTAGCATGAGGACAAAGAAAAAGTGAGTCAAAAGTTGTAGGCTTTGGAGGTCTTTTATAAGAGGAAGTGATAGTATGAGTAGCTAAACATCAAACACTCATCCAAAGAGATTATAGTATGTAAATTTTCTTACAATGTGAATTGTCGGTCTCTTTTAGTTTATATCTACCTTTTATAGAGAAAAGATAAGTAGATGATCTTAGTCCATATCATGGGAGTTTCTTTAATGATTTCATATTCTATTTCCGTCCTAATTATCAAAATAACCAACAATTAAATTCATACAAAGATTCATGCTAATTGTAATGAGGTATTACAATGATGATATCTCAAACCAAGTGCCATATGATTATATCTTGAAAACTTTTAAAAAATCACTAATTTGATGATATCTTAAACTGATTCAGTTTTTATATAATTAACCATTGAATTGGTTTTTATATAGACTATATATCCTTATTTATGATCAGTAATTGAATTAGTTTTCATCTAATTAATTGATAAATTTTTAGTTTTAAAACAATCAATTTCTATTTAATTGGTCACAGAGTTGATTTTTATATTAGTTTTCATATAATTAATAATTGAAATGTTTCCTGAAGCAGTATTTAAATTGGTCTAAAATTTTTCTGACCAAGAATTTAACCATTTATTAAATTGAATTTACTTTAATCTCTGACTGCTTCAGCAAACGATGTTATTAATTTAGAGACACTTTTCCATCTTTTTTATGCATTAAGTTAATTTTACTTTAAAAATTAAACCGTTCAAATCTAACTTAATTCAAATAAGTTAAAGTTATTTGAAAATCATTTTAATTTTTTGTTCTATAAAAATAATAAAATAGTTTATATTTTACAATTTTTACTTTCAGAAAAATAGGTTTGTAGTTACAATAAATTTTAATAAAAAAATGTTTAATAGGAACTCTTAAACATTAGCATTCTCTTTATCTTAAACATTTTCTGTTGATAATATTTATGTGTGAATAAATAAACCTCTAAAATAGTCCTTAAGACATTTTAGTATATATAAATTTTGTCTAAATGTAAAAACTATCTGTTAGTCTCTAAGTTTTTGTAAAACAACATTCACTTTAGTGTATTTTGGCATACTGATACAAACCAACCAGTGGACCCAGACCCAATAAGGAAGGATGACCCAATAGTAAGAAAACGAGCAAGAAAGAAGCCAGCGTGGATGACTGATTATGTCTGCGGACAAAATTAGAAGATCATGATATGCTCAAATTATGTCTGCGGACAAAATTAGAAGATCCTGATATGCTCAAATTAATTCCTAAAATTTCTGCTGCAAATTATTAGTTTAATTCCTGTTTTATTTCCCTAATTTTTGCTTGATTGTTAGCACCCAATTCCTTTTAATAGCTATGATGTAATCAAAATAGAACAGAATAAAAGTTTTCAATGTCTTTTTTCCCCCAAATTCTATTATTCTCTTTCCCTTAATTTTCTGAGGAGTGGACACTCACTCGAAGAGTGTTAAAACCTTTGAGCATTCTGCAGCAGAGTGTATCATTGGTGCTTTCATCATGGACACAACTGAGCTTATGAGCGCCCTTCAATCCAATATCGATGCACAGATGGTAAAGTTTCGCGAATTACTCGAGTTCTATACCGAGTCAGTTCATTCCACACTCCACCAACACCTGATAGAAGTTGATTTGAAGGTCGCAAACTTACACGTTGAAGGCAAAAAACAACCACAGAATGCATTTGTCAGGCAGATGTCACGTGCGCTGAAATTAAACGTACCACGTTTTGATGGTTCCAATCTCTTGGATTGGATTTTCCAGATTGAAGCTTTCTTCAACTTCCACGAAACTCCGGAAGAGTCCCGACTTCAGATCGTAGCCTTTCATCTTGACGGACGCGCTGCTGGCTGGTTCTAATGGGCAACACGTAACAATTTGTTACCATCGTGGCCAATTTTTCTCACCGCTGTTCGTCACCACTTCGGTCCAACTCAGTACGAAGACATTGAAGGTGAACTCTCCAAATTAACTCAAACCGGCTCTGTAGCTGAATTTCAAGCCCAGTTTGAAGAATTGATGAACAAGGTCAACGGTATCTCCGAATCACTACTGATCAGTTTTTTCATTACGGGACTGAAAAAAACATTTGAGATGGGAATTGCAATTTCACCGACCTGCTACGTTAATAGAAACCTTCGCCATGACCAGAGCATATGAGGCCCGTTTTGATGACACACCAACCATAGGCAAATTGTGGTCTCGCGGCCCACAACACTCCACAGGCTCACATACCCAACCTAACCACAATCAAACAAACCGATCCATTTCAAATCCAAATAACCCATCAAACAATACTGCAACATCATTACCACCACTCTTACCCACACCACACTCAAACCCTGCCGTGCGGAACATGCCCGCTGCCGAACTCCGAGACCGTCGTTCAAAAGGTCTCTGTTTTAAATGTGATAAGAAATGGAACCCATCTCACCGATGCCAAAATCGCGTGCTTATTCTCATGGGAGCGGATGAAGAGGAACCCCCACCGAAATTCGAGGATAACTCAATAGATGATGTCTCGGGTGACATACCTTCACTCCTTGTCCAGCCAGCTCCAAAGTCGATCCTTGCGTGTTTCCGGCCTTTATAACCAAACAAAATTCACCATCCTCATTGACAGCGGGAGCACTCACAACTTTATCAAGCCTGCGTTAGTGGAACGATTGGGGTTACCTATCAAACCATGCCCTCATTTCAAGGTCGCAACTGGTTGTGGAACCTTCTTGGTTTGTCAATTTTGCTGCCATAATGTCCCTCTTATCTTACAGGACATTAAATTTGAGGTGGATTTGTTTATCCTGAACATTGAAGGTCCCGATGTTGTGTTGGGCTTTCCTTGGTTGCAATCTTTGGGCAAAGTTGCTCATGATTATTCGGCTCTCACTATGGAGTTCATGTGGCAAGGGACCCAAGTTACTTTAGTAGGTGATGCCTCTCTAGCCTCACAATCAGTGTCACTGCATCAGCTTCAAGCATTGGTTCACACCAATAATGTGGCCAGTGTTTTTACCATCACGACGTCCCTTGAAGACGTTGATTCTCTCCCAGAACCATCCAGCAATTTTCCATCCAACCTACCCAGCCCAGTTACTGATCTATTACAACGTTTTAAGTACAACGTTTTAAGTCCATTTTTTCTACACCCACAGAATTGCCTCCTCACAGAACGGTTGACCATCACATCCATCTTGTTGAAGGATCCAAGCCAGTCAATGTGAGGCCCTATCGATATCCTCAATTTCAAAAATCTGAAATGGAGAAGTTGATCCGAGAAATGCTTGATCAAGGCATCATCGTCCCTAGCCACAGTCCATTTTCTTCACCCGTCTTATTGGTAAAGAAGAAAGATGGTACATGGCGATTTTGTGTGGATTATAGATCGTTAAATTCTGTTACAGTTAAGGATAAATTTCCAATTCCAACCATTGATGAACTTTTGGATGAGTTGGGTGGCGCAAGAATATTTACAAAACTGGACTTGCGTGCAGGGTACCATCAAATTCGGGTTCATCCGAGTAACACTTATAAAACGGCGTTCCGCACACATGAGGGTCATTTTGAATTTCTTGTAATGCCGTTTGGACTTATTAATGCACCGTCAACATTCCAAGCCGCAATGAACCAATTGTTTTCTCAATACTTACGAAGGTTTGTGATTGTTTTTTTTATGACATACTGATATATAGTGCCTCTATTGAAGATCACTTGCAACATTTAGCATTGGTTTTCACTTCCTTAAAAACTCATTGTTTTTTTGTGAAACTGTCCAAATGTCTATTCTGTCAAGAGTTCATTGACTACTTAGGCCATATAGTTTCTTCTCAGGATGTACAGAGCGGATCCGGCCAAGCTTGAAGCCATGGAAAAATGGCCCATACCAAGAATCGGTCAAACAACTTAGGGGTTCTTAGGCCTTACCGGATACTATAGAAAATTCATTGCCCATTATGCAAGTATAACTTCTCCTTTAACCGATCTCCTGAAGCATGATGCATTCTCTTGGAATGAAAATGCTCAACGGGCCTTCCTTGCCCTCAAGCAAGCTATGCTTTCTGCGCCGGTCCTTAGTTTACCTGACTTTTCTAAAGAATTTGTAATAGAGACTGACGCATCCAACGTCGGTATTGGAGCTGTTTTAATACAAGAGGGCCACCCCCTTGCCTTCTTTAGTAAGAAATTGGGCCCGAAGTTACAAGCTGCATCTGTATATATCAAGGAACTACATGCCATTACAGAATTTGTTCTTAAATGGAGACAATACTTGTTAGGTCATTTTTTTGTCATCTGAACTGGTCATAAGAGCATCAAGGAATTACTTCAGCAAGTAATACAAACTCCAGAACAGCACTCGTATGTGCGCAAACTCTTGGGGTTCCAATTTCGCATCGAGTACAAACCCGATGCTTCCAATAAAGTGGCTGACGCACTTTCACGTGTGCCGGCTGACTGGCCAGACAGTGACCACACACCCGCACTCAGAACATTAGTGTCATCACCTACATATGATATTATTATTCAGCTCCAAAAATGTTTTATTTTGTTTTTATAAAGGGTTGAAGATTACTAGAGAATTGTTTATTTTTCGAAGTTCATCAATATCACGTCCTTTTGGTTAAATATACTCCTTTCACCCCTATGATGATGAATCATATTCTTATATTTTTATTTTTATTTTTATTTTTCTATTCTTT